ACGGCGTCTCTCATGTAGCCAGCGCGAAAGGCGATGCGGAGGGAGACCGCGTGAAGTTTCGGTCGCCGCTTTCGCGTACATAGTTGGCATGAAGAGATAGATTCGCCCAAGTATGTGATGCCTTTGTTTTCCGGATTGTTGTGGGATTTGGCCGTTGTCCGGAGCATGCTGTAAGTGGGTAACACCCCAAGAATCCGATGCGGCCGGAAAATTTGCTGCCCGAAGTTCCTGAGTCGCTATTCCGTAGCCTAATCCTAACACTACATATTGTTGACCGAAAACCGTGCTAAAGATGCGCTACGGCATACGACAACTGGTGCACGTGTGCTCTCCTCTGGTGCTAAGAATCTTGGTTGCAACGACCGCCAGTTTATTCCGTCTCCGACAAACTTACCTGGTGTTGTAACGGGGGTTTCTGGTGACATGGTCGAAGAGGCAGCCCCTCCTGTGTCTTGCAACTGCCGTGCCTTGCAAGCTGGCGTACTACGAGAATGTTGCTGCTAGAGCAGATGAGAGAAACGCGGTCGATGGCAACAACGACAACAGTAATCACCACCACAGATACGATCAATTCACTCCAACACCGCCGTTCTACCTTCTTTCGCGTGACTGAAAGGGGGTTCTCCGCGATGGTGTTGGGGGCACTTCCCCGGAGTGCCTGTCGCGTGCGGCGATGTGCGTCAAGCTCATCGCGGCTAGGACGTCGGGGGCGGTGGAGAGCTACCGACCTGAGGTAAGTGTTCCATTGTTTCTTTGAACTGTTTTTTTCGAAGTACTTGGAAGTAACATTTTTTTAGTTTGTTTTTAACACGTGAGTTCTGCCGCGTGGCAACAAAGGATTCGCTGATAGCGGGCATCTCGGCATGTGTGGGTGTTGTTGGAAAAGACAGATACGGCTACCCCTTTTGCTGTTACATGGAATACTCAAATCAAGACCACGGTAACAGATGAAAAACTTCCAATCTGTTTTTTTTTGTCGCCCGTGCCTCGCGGTCACGTTGCCGGCAACTTGCGGGCAACGTGTCGGAAACGTGTCGGAAACGTGTTCAATGGTTGTCGGAGCCTCAGAGCCTCGGCTAGGGGTATGGACGGGTTGAGGTAGGTACGTAGAAGGGATTTTCGTTGAGGTTCCTCGTTCGTTCATGGAGGCTGCTTACCTTTCTTGCAGCTGTTTTCAAGAGCACGACATGTCCTGACCTACAAAGAGAGAAAAAGTGCCCGCCGCGAACGTGAACGTGCTCCGTTTTCCACCCCGGTCAGCAAACAACCGCCAACCGCGTGGTACACTCCCGCGCTGTGATGGAAGGAAGAACTTCCATGCAGAATTTCTTTGCTGTCGCACATGTATTGACACGACACCCTCGCTTGATGCATGTCCTCTTGACCGCAGCTGGAGCTGTACAGCTGCTTGGAGAGTGTGCTGGGGTCTCTCACTTGGGAGGGGGCTCCTACCTGGCGCGGTGTGGTCGTTAGCCGAGACGTCGAGAAGCACTTCGGTGGCAGGGTGGAAGCGGCCAGACAGGTGCCGCTTCGCCTTGTTTTCTTTCAAAGACAGCAGCTTACAACCGAGACGCTCGTTTCACGCTTTCAGTACCAAAAGAGTCTGTTATCTTCTGTCAGGCGCATGCGCTACATGCACTGCACAAGGTGGTGTTCGCACGGAGGCGGTGCTGTTCCGTAGGCTTGGCTCTGTTGGACGCGTATTGGTGTTGCCTACAGTAGGACTTCACCACCGTGTGTATTTGTAGTTTCAGCGTAGTGGGTCGTCGTTTCTTGTATTGTGCTGAGCGACCGTACGCGTGAGATGGCAAAACAAAAATTGACAACGTGGGATGCTTGTTGATTTTTCGAGCAATTAACCTTCAAGTGTTTTCGTCCTGTGTCGCGGTGACGTTTAGCTGGAAGTGGCTATCGACACCGTGGCGACCGTGGATCAGGATGACTACCGTCCTCTCCACTGGCTTCTCTTCGGCAAGGCTCTCGTCGTCGGAACGGGACACGTGAGCATACCGTACCACCGTACAACCGTTGCCGTATAAGGTCATCCGGTACGCCTGGGTACTTCGTAGATTGTTGTACCGGTGGTACGGCCAAGAAAGTGCCCCCTGGTGACATACAGTATTTGGGCTCATGAAAACCTAACACCGGATGTGTTCGGCGTACGTTACATTGTCGGGTGTGTGTTGTGTCTTGCATCTCACTGTCTCTTCTCTTGATCTGAGAGTAGTTTTAGTTTTTAGGGCTAATGTCGACGAATAGAATTGTTGTCACGGGGTGTGGTATTTTCTGGGGGGGAGGTTGTCTTGTGTCTTGTGTGGTGTGCTCATACGGCAGTTCACCCTACTCTTGCAGCAAATCAGATCAGTCCCGTCCAGACCAACACGCCGTATCACCGTATCCTTGAAATTGTTTCTTGTCTCTTGATGGGAACGGCATACATTTTCAAGCATCTCCCAGTGTTGCATGATCCATCAAGGCATGTCCATGAATACGGGGACGACAAATGCAATCGTTTGTGCTCGGTGGCTTCCGATGTTATCGTTTGAATGCTCACGTCCATGTTCCGCGCTACGGATTAACACTCGCACTACACCCAACGCCAACAGGTGCAGCACCCGCTTTCCCCTCGACGGGGAAGCCATCCCGCGTCGGCTGCGGGAATGGGCGGCGGCGGCGGCGGGGGCGAGGACGAGGAGGAACACGGGGAAGACGGCCGAAGTGACTTCGGCAAGAGGAGCAACGCGGCGAACAGGAACAGCTGGTCGGAGGTGGTGCAGGGGGCGAGGAACGGCCTCGCGAGGTTCGCTTCCCCCCTCGCGAGCTCGAGGTGGCAGGTACGGTAACGGTGACTACGGTTATGACCACGAATATGTAACGGTAACGGTGAACGGCAGAGTGTATTGCTCAAACCACTTCGGCATAACCAGAACCAGGACTCGGTAGTGTTGCATGGTATTAACGGCAACATCGATCGCCCAAACCGCTTCGGAGACTCGTTCGTGTTGCATGATATTAACGGCAAAGTCGATCGCTCAACCAGCGTTTTGTTTATTATTTCGGCAGGCAGGTTTTCATGTATTCTAGGGGCGCCCCGACTAGTCTATCGAGGCCCTGTTGCTCGTGCACGATCAAGGTTATGGGTCAGCGTTACCTCATCTATTTCGTTTTACCTAATTTGGTACCATGGTAATGAAGGATCGTCCCGGGTACAAATATGGGATCCCTTCCGTGACCCTCAAAAAGCTAACGAAACGGTTTCTGATGTCGTGCTCGTATTCTGCTGTGAGCTTCTTGTTTTCCGACAGCTAGTCTGTTGGGTGCATTCAGGTGAAATGATCGACATTCATTGGTCGTTCTGATGTGATGTCGATGGTATGCTACCTGACACGATTTATTTAATCTATCTTCCGTGGCACCTTGGTAACTTGATCCTTCATAACTTGATAACTTGATCAGGTCAAAAGAACGGCCGTGCGCGGGTGCGTGATGGTGCTGTCGGCCCTCCAGAACGGCTCGTCTCAAGCTGCCGACGAAAGAGTCGGTTGTCTCGACGTCAATAAAGCCCGCAGAGTCGTCACCCGTGCCGTCAGGTGTGTGCCATGCCATGCCATGCCATGCCGTGTTATCGAACTTGCTACTCGTTGGATGTTTTCTTGATCATGTTGCTGCTGTTTGGTGCTGTTCGTTGCTGCTGCTGGTGTTTCTACACGCTGGGCTGTTGATGCTGGTTCTGCTCTGATCGTTGCATGACTGGCACAACGTGTGAAAGGACATCAGTATCGCCGAACAACTCAACCACGTCGTTCTCACCGCCCCTCCCGCTTACTATTTTGTCCAGAATGCTACCGGCAGAGTTCAACGGCAAGGATGGTGCTGGTCCCTCCTGTGAGTCCGCGGCGCTGACTGCTCCGCAACGGCCCTTCTGGGCACAAGTCCCGGCCCTGCTGTGTCTCTACCTGGAAGACCTGGTGACGCTGGCGTGTGCTGCGGCTACTGCTTCGACTGATGACAGCGAGCTGCTTGAGCTGCAAGAGGCTGGCGTGATGATGCTCACGGAAGTCGCCAGGACATTTGCTCAGGTGCTGTTTTTTTGTTTCTGTAAACGTGACGATTGGTCTCAGAGGGGCGATTTTGGCACTTTTTGAAGTCCTCATCTTGGGTTTACATTGCTTGCTGTTGGGTGTTTAGACGTAGATGTAGCAGGTGGGTGGTGACTTGGCGTTGTGGTCCTACTTGACATCAATACCCGGTATTGGGTCTGCTTGTGCGCTATTGGCCGTGGCGTGTTTTCAGCCGCTCTCTCGAAAGTAGACTTCACGAAACAAGAGACAACAGCAAGTATGATATCAGCAGCAGCAACAAAGCAACAACGGGACCCGCATGCCACCAACACCGAGGAACAACGACGTCGACAACAACTTCAACCACAAAGGAGTAACAGCGTCAATCTCAATCACTCGTGCCGATACGCGCCTTGTTCGTACTGCTGTAGGTCCCCGACTCCGATGAGGACGAGCTTGGCCTAGTGGTCGTCTTGGGTAAGAGCGTTCGGGCGCCGACTCTAGCGCTGGAGCTGTCTATCTCGCAGATCACGGGCGCCGCTAGGCCTGCCCTAGGTTGCAAGGTGTCTCCGCGGCTGGCCCAGCGTGGCTGCGAGCTGGTGGTCACGCTTGTCCGAGAGGTTCGTTTCCGCTCTAATTGCTTTGACTGAAACAATCGAAAAAACAATCATTGTTGTGGGGTTGAGGTTGTGACACACACGACCAGCAGAGCAGCAGACCAACCCAAAGCATGCCTTCCCATGCTCTCAACCCAGGGTATTGGTGTTTGCCACCGTGGTCAGCTATCCTGTTGAAACATGTACTTCAATTCAACGCCGGGGTACCATTGCAATTGTTAATGGTGGTTACCCTCTCCCCCCTTTTGTCTTCGGCTGGATTTCGCGGCGGGGCACAGGGCCTGGTGAAGGACAAGGTTGTGCTGAAGAGACTGGTGCGACAAGTGATGCCGGCGGAAGTGTTGTCCGTGTCCGCCAAACAGGCCAAACAGGGCGTTCTAGAGAAGAGGCGAGTACAGTAAGCGGGCCGACCGTCGCCATCAAGGGATCCTAACGATAACCGTAACCCAGAGGTCATCCGCCTGGCGGGAAGTGTGCGTAGTGGTTCTTGCCCCGTCCTTTGGTCTGGCGTCTAGTTGAGGGTTGGGTTTGTTTTGGTGGGTAGCGTGTAAATGCCTAGATTGGGCCCGCTTGAAGTTATCGATCTACTGCGTATTGTTTTTGTTGTCCCTGTTTTTGGCGCGTATGATCTCCATGCACCCGGCAAGCAAGCGGCCACTTTACCACTCATGTTTTTCATCTAATTTAACCATTTTTTCATATTGTTGTTTGGGCGAAGACATGTACCACCTATATCACGCCCTTGCTGTGAGTTGTTTTGGTTGCCATGCTTGCCAGATCCGAGGAAAAGCCACTCGGCAGGTTTTCCCGCCTGTTCACTCTGTTTTGCGTCCTCAAAGTCTTCTCTCCTCCTCTTTATCGCCCCGAAAACTGCCCCCCCTTTCCCTTCGATTCTTGACACAAAACCGACTGGACGATCAAAAACCGAACGAGAGCAGTCGCCACCGCACTCGCTTTAGCCGCACCCCAAGCCCCCGCCGGAGGGGGACCGCTAGCGGTTATTCCCCTTCGCCCGCACGAGGAGGGAGCACTTCCCCTGCGGCGTTCTTCGGAAAACCGGGGACGGATGGCAACCGTCCCGTGAGAGCGAGCGATACGACCGCAACGCCGGTCTCTGACAAGGACCAGGCGGGCTCCTTGTCCCAGGCGGAGGCGGAGGCTTTGAGGCTGAAGGAGGCCGTGGAGGCTAGCTACCGCCCCGCGGTGTCCGCCGTGTACGGGATGCACGTCCCCCTGGCGGAGAGGGCGGCAAGGCTGCAGTGCCTGGCGGCGCTCCGGCTGGTCGCCGGAGGGGAAGACGAGGCTTCGTTCGGAGGCGGGAGCGGCTCGGGGGGTGAGTTGGACGATTGACCGCCGATGGTGCGGTTTCGTGCTGTGTGCTCGGGAGGACCGTACTCAAGAAATCGTGAGCGTTTTTGAGTGCTGAGGACAACAAGGTGTAGGGTGTTGTACGTGGTGATATGGAGAAGACCATCTCTTTATTGAACGCCTTTTGCGCATCATAAACGTGTTTGGAGGTGTCGGGCGCCAAGATCAGTTTCCACAGAATAGAACAAGTATTGTGTCCTCAATGAAGCTATCCTGCTGAGCTCTCATTCGTCGAGAGTAGAGGGGCTCATGGGGATGCGTGTGTTGAAGACGTTGCCGCGATTATGGTTCCAGTCTAGGTCGGCCATGCGAGTGGGTGGAGTGGGTAGTTTTTCCGGTGGGAGGAAAAAATAGCCTTGTTTGTTTCTGTGCCGATTCTGTTCCGCTGGCCCTTCTTGAAGACGTGATGTGGATAGTGCGCCAAGCCTCGTACAAGACGTGCACGGACCCCCCTTGTTGCACGCATTGTCAAGTCAGAACTGCTGCTGATGGTCTTACATTACTTAATCCGCGATCGAGACAAAAACGCAATCTTTCTTGGATCCGATCATTTGTGTCGTACGTCGGTCGCTGGCGTGAATTGAGTGCGGCCATGATAAGGCCGTGTCTCATACGCATACGTTCGTTCCCCCGTGTCGTTATGGTTGCAGCCGTGATTCCGGATTCGGTCCGGAGGGGGCTAATGGACGCTTTGAAAGAGCACCTCAAGGTGCTGGGACTGCACTGGCTTGCCAACGTCAAGGATGCGGTAAGGCTAAACCAGGTGGGTGGGGAGGTGGAGGCGGGCAGGCGCTTGCGATGGGTCGGGGATCAAAATAGTTCAAGAGAGCACTTCGTGAATTGATCTGACCAGTCGTTGTCGTTATGCGGTGAAGGGTTGCAGAGCTTGCAATCGTCATCTGTGTCTTTTACCCTTCAAAAAGTATCCACAAACTTTCCAATTTCTGCCTCGTGATAATTTTCCATACGACTGGTGCATGCCACTAAGTTGTCTATCGCATCTAGCTGACCGATATACGTGTTTGGATCCTCAATGCTCCCTTATTTTTTGCTACTTTTTTGTTCAGGGGGATGCTTGCGGTCTTTGGCCACGTGCCGGCAAGTTGAACATCGGTGCAGGCCTGACGTACCCTCCGGGGGTGAAACCGTCACTGGCGAAGGGCCCACTGAAGGGGAGGTGGCCCGTAATGGCTGCTGCGGCCGCGGCAGAACTCGCCAGGGAAGGGGGCGGCGATGACGCCGAGGCAGCGCCGTTTTTGCTGTCGGTGTGTGTGTGCGGGCTCCTGGCGGCTGAAGAAGGGTGAGTATTGTCATTTGGTACGGCTATTCTTTGTTGGTGTTGGTAGATCACAGTGCGGTAGTGCACGACATGCTCTTGGTGCCCTTCGGTGGGGGGTTGAGAACATACCTTCAGCTGCATGATGTTTGCTTGCCAAACTGTTTTCAGCAAGCGCCAGCTCTCACCCACACTACTGTGATAGACACCACACGTAAATCACCGATATATAGCAACTTCTTGTTCTCGCAGAGTGGCCGCGGCTGTCATCATGGCCGTGGCCGTCATTGTTGTCTGTTTTATGTCGATGTTGTTAGGCTGACGGTTGTGTTCGTGGCCGATTTTTGGTTGTTGCTCAGGCTAGTCCGACGGCGACTGGGGGGGACATCCCGGCGACACGGGCGGTCTTTCCTAGGGTCACCCGGCAACGAGTTTGCGAACGGCTCGCGAGGAGTGACCGGGGGCGGCAGCCTTGCTGGTGGTGGGGACAATGACGAGGACGAGGAGGAGCAAGACGAGGGGCTGATGGCGGAGGATGCTTCGCTCATGTTCCTGACGGCTATAAGGCAAGTAACAATGGCAGCGGCTGATGTGCTCGACGCTACATCCTACCGGAAACGCGCTGGCTGTTGTAGTTGGATACCACTTGTTCTTGTAACGTACGACGTTAGCACTTGGAAGTTCTTTTTCGCTGCTGATGTTGTCGCTGTAGCCATCCGTATCGGCGACGTTGTTTGCAGTGGAGGTCGCGGGTATCGCGCTGTGTGTGCGAAGCGTAGGCAGGTGTGCACCGAGTGCGGTTCAAATTTAACGTTGGATATAGCCACCAGTGGTGAACAGGTCAGAGTGCAGGGGCGACGTGTACCTTGGGATATCCCTTGTTTTTGTTGTCAACAGTATCAGCCCGGGATAGTTAACCCTCCCGAGTTGCCACCAACGACGGCGAAGGCCTTTATTTCCATCAAAGTTATCATGATACGAGCCATGGCCTTAGCCGTTATTCTCGCGCGCTGGCGTTCCCACTCAGCTTCAATCTTCTCGCGCTACAACGTATAACGCTTCTTCTTGTCAGGTGCCTATTTTCGAGACCAGAGCTACTGGGAAGCCCCTCGCCGACCGATAACTCGAAAACGCCATCGATTCAGGAGATCGGTCCCGAGAACGGTGCGGGCATGGGAGAGGTCGACGTTGGCAGCCCATCCGAGAGCCCTGACAGTGGTAGTGCTATCGGTGTCCCTGTGTCGATGGTCGTACGCGCCGTCAGGACACTTTCATCACCCCCGTTCTTGCAGCGCGTGGGGGATTCGGAGGCTGGTAGTGTCAAAGAAGGAAGAAGGGATGAGGATGATAAGTGTCCTCTCAGACTCCAGCTCGCTGCCATCTCGGCTCTGGGAGAACTTTTGTCTTCGAAGGGGGGTGAGTATGTGATGAGAGCCACGGCAGCGACGACGGCTGCTGGACGGGACGGGAATTCGAAAACGCAGGAGGCCGAGGAGGAGGCGGGCGAGAGTGATGCGGGTGAGTCGCTTCAGGTCTCATAATTTCCACTTTGATTTGTGCCGCGTTCTTGTTTTGAAAGCGGGCGAACTAGAAAAGGCTGTTGGACGTGTCGTTTTTTTGACATGTACAAAGTTGTCCCATAGGTTTGTTCGAGATTGATGCTGTCTGCAACCGATGTATTATAGTTCGTTTATTCGTCGCTCTCCATGCGGTAACCTTTTAAGCTGCAGCAACTCATCCCGCTACTGTATTAACGTTCATGTACAGCAGCATTCCAAAAATTGTGGTGACCTTTAGTCGTATCGAGATGCCGATGACACTGCTGTGCTACGCACTCTATTTCACCCCCTCCCTCCCCTGGCTCTCCCATATCCTCCTCTGCCACCTGCTCTCGTGTGCACGACTTTCAGAGCCGTTTGCACTATGGGAAGCTCTTATGGGAGGTGTTGTTGGTGGCGTTAACGCCAACATTCCGGCAGCGTTTGACCTGCCGCTACCTCCGGGAGAAGAAACGGGTAACACAGAACCCAACTCTCTCTCCGCGGCATCATCTACACCCGCTCAAATCGGCGGAGCTACGTTTACCGCCGAATTTCCTTCGGACGATAGCAGGAGCAACGGCGCTCCCGGGATGGTCTCGAACCCCCCTGTGAGTGCTGGTGCGGACGGTGCGGCGGCGAATGCGGCGGCGAAGGCCTTCGCGGCAGAGGTTGACAAGAGTAAAAGCTCCTCGGCGGGCGAGGAAGCGACGGTGATGGTGTCCGCGGCTCTCCTCCCGCTCCTGGCCCGCCTTGTTCCTCTCTGTCCGCTCCCCAGACTCTCGAGCACGCTCCCCTCGCTCCTCCTGCTTTCCGTGAGACTTCTCGGAGCGGAATCGGGCAGGGTGCTTGGGGTTGCTGCTGGGTCTGCCGCGGCAGCAGGGATGGGCTCCGCAACGGGTGGTGGTGGTGGTGGGGACGCCGCTAAGGGGCTGTCCTCAACACCAGAAGCGAAAGCCGCCGTCGACTTTGTGCGGTCTTCCGTGCGCGAGGTGTGGCGCCACGGGAATGTCCAGCAGCGGCAAGAAGCTGGTCCCGGTGAAGTTGCTCGTGCTCCCGGACCGCCCCAGGGCGATGTTGAGGGCGCGGAAGCAGTGGTTAGTGCGGGGAGAGGGGCTGCCGTCCCCGAAACTGGAAGCGTTTCGACTGCGCCCGGGCCTGATGAAGGCGCCGAAATCGTGGAGGGTAGCGGGGTCGTGGCAAATGATGAGGACGGCGACAATGACGACGACGATTGGGGGGACGACGATTTCCAAGGGGCTGAGGGCGACTTCCAGGGGGCCGAGGGCGAGCTGCAGGAGGGCTCTTCTCCTCCCGCGGTGAACGATGATCCTGCTGCTGCTGCTGTTGCTTCTGGGAGTGTTCCTGCTGTCGAAGATGCTGCTTCGGAGGCCTCCGTCGGTAAGGCAGAGGCGGCGGCAAAATCAGGCGAGGTCGGGGTACGAAGCGATGAATGCTCTGGGGAAGGGAAGGAGGAAAGTGAGACTTGGCAAGAAGAGGCACCGGTGGTACAGCACAAGGACGACGCACCGTCGAGTAACAAGGACGGTGAGGAAGATGGGTATGCCTCTGCTGCGGAAGACGGGGCCGACCGGTCTGCGCACAACGATACGGAGGACGAAACCGAGGGCGAGGCGAATGAGGCCAAGGAGGTTCTTCAAGAGCCAGCAGATCCGGATGATGTCGGTAATGACGAAGGCAGCCAGGAAACCTCAGCAGCAGCCGATGCACCCGTCGCCTCCGCCGCCGCCGCCGCCGCAGCAGCAGCGACGACCCGCGCGGAGAGCGCAGACGCGCCTGCTTGTGTAGACTCCCAGGACGATGGTGCCACCACACCAGAGAACGGGAGCACAGAAGACGTCCCCGTCGCCTCGCCGCCACCTGCCGTGCCGGATGCCCTGAATTTGCTTCTAGGCGCGGGCCGGGCCGTGAACGGACTCTTGGCCTTCCTCCTGGGTGGAGAAGGGGCAACGACAGAAAGGGCGGCCGCGATCGGCGCAGCCGCGGAAGCTTGGGGCGCGGTCGCCCTGACGATCCCCCAGGAAGCAGACGGTCTCGCGGGGCCGCTGCGCGAGGCGCTGACTTCCTCCACGGAGAAGTGCTCGGTTTCCACCCGGCTTGCGTTGCTGCATGCTGTCATCGTCACTGTCAAGGCGGCGGCCGGTGAGGACGACGGAGCTGCGGCGGGGCAGGCGGAGGCGGACGGGGGCGCGTATCGCAAAGCGGCGGCTACAGCGTTGATGCGGTTGCTTGCGCCGCACGCGTTGGCCGGCTTGCGGCTCGAGGTGGATCGCGCAGCAGCAGTGGCGGCGGCGGCGGGAGGGGGCAACGTCGGCGGTGTGGCGGACGAGGAACCGCGGGAAGCATGCTTGTTGGAGGGCGTGCACCTCGCCCAGCTCGCGTTCAAGGTTAGTATACTTCAGAGAATGGCGCGGTGGATCGCCGTGAGGCGCGTTCAGTGTTTCAATGTGTTAACCGTTTTTTTATGTCTTGTTCCCTCACCTTATTACCCACCCTGCTCTTGCCACAACAACAACGCGCGGCATCCGTTGACAGGCGGCGCCGCAAGCAAGCCACGGCCCCCTTCTCGGCCTTTTGCTGCCCCTTTACGCTTCCGCCCTGGCTCTCAACCTGCCGATGCTGGGTGCCACCATCGGCCAAGCTTTACTGCTCGTCGCAAGGTCGTCTGCAGGAGCCTTCAAGGAGGCTGTAGCTTACGTTGCCACGGGGGAACGCCAGGCACTAGAAGGCGCTGTGCGCGCCGCAATGATGGGGCGAGGGGCTCCAGTGGCGGGAGGCGACGCGGGCGGGAGAGGCGGGGGTAGCGGCTCTCGAATGTCTGGTAGAAAGCTAGACCTCAGCCAATACAGCACGAGGGGCTAGGGCGGTGTCTGTGGTGTTTGTAGGCGGTGCTTCCCCACGCGGACGAAGGTGGTTCGTTTGGGTTCACACATATTTCGTTCCTGGTGGGAAAGAAAAAAGGGGTTGTGTGAGGATCTAAGGTGATGCGGTAAGACGCTACTAAGGCGCGCTTTTTTTAACAGCGCTGTGTGTTGTGCAGCACGTTTTGGACCAGCCAGCCTGTTGATGCGAACGGAAAAGCTCTAGCGCAAGTTTGGTTGTTGTGGGAACAGCTGGCTCTTGTGTGTATGCGTACTATTGTGGTAGGAGTTTTCTAGGGTAGCTTGTACGTTCGGCCTCCAGGTGATGAATCAAGACGACAGCAATCGTCAACACAGCCCTGGGGTTACTGATGCAGGTCCTCGCCTTGGATATGATGAAGGTGGCGAGGGACCCTGCAAGCTGGCAACTGGAGCAACCGAGATATTTGGGTGCCGTCTCTGACGTCTTGCAGGTTCATTACCATACGCACATTGTAAAGGCTTAAAAGGCTACCTATCTTTCGTTCACCGGCGACCGAGAAGCAAAAGTGCACGATTCACGTGCCGTTCTGTTGCAAAAGTCTTAAAAAAAGGGTTCTGATGGACACGATGCTCGCAACGTGTAGCACTATGTGTGTCTGCGCAATCGGGTGTAGCGCAACACGTAAGACTTTTCGCAATTTGTAACCGTTGCTTAGCTGGCACTATGAAGCAGAGAGCACAACCCTAAAATGAACTAGGTACAGCCCTAGCCAAACATACCTCCTCCCCTTGCCAACGCTTTGGAAGACACGAGGATGAGCGAAAAAAACCACTACGCTGCGGTCTATCGTTACATCACGAGCCAGAACACCGCAATAGCATCATTCCTCGCCGCCGACCCCTCGGTCCGAGCCTTTTTCACATGCCCTTGGCGGTTTCACCTTCGCAGAAGGCGCAGCCACAGACGAACTGCGAAACCCTTGGCTGGATGTTGCCTTGGCAGTACCAGCAGCAGCTGGGTTTGTAGGCACCAGATTCATGGATCCCCCGCCGAACCTAGCCTTGAACCCCCTAACCTCCTCGGCTCCAGTAGCCCCGCTGCCATCCTTCGTGCGTGCCGCCCGTGCCAGTGACGCGGCACTGCTAGACCTACTGTACCAGGGCTTCGCGGATGCCCGTTCTCTGTCCTCGCCTGCCTCCGCCACCTTTGCATCGGCAATGGAAGTCCGCCACTTGTACGGTGCGCGGGCTGCACGTGCTGGTGAAGGCGGAGGAGGCCCCTCACGTGGACCACTGCCGCCATCGCTGCCCCTGCGACCTCCTCGTCTAAAGCTGCCCGCCCCCTGCTGTGGCACGTTTGGAAAGGAGCCATCTCGACGTCCGCCGCCTGTTGACCACACCTTCGGACTACCTCCCCTGCCGCTGGCACCCGCTCTACTATCCCCGCCCGCAACGCCCCTCCTTCCGCCGTCTTGCTGATCTCTCCCCTTGGGCGCCCGGCGCGCTGTCCGCCTGTCATCCTGTTCACCCCACCCAGATTCCTCATCAAAATTGTCGCCGGCCCCACCGCCCTCACGGTCAACCTCAGCCTTCCACTTTTTGCGTCCACCGCCGCCGCCGCCACCGCGCGCGGGAGCGTAGCGGGCCGCATTCCTAACCTTTTCCTTAGCTTCTTCCCGCTTCCGCCGGTCTTCGCGTCTTCGGGCCTCGTTTCTTTCTCTCTCAAGGTCGCCGTCGTCGTAGACGGTCTCATCGACGAGATCATCGTACAGATCCACATCGTTTAACGAGATCTCAGTGCTTCCCAACTTCAATGGCGACGCTGTTTCAGCCACGTCGTCTTCGTCTGACGAGGAATCTTCTCCTGATTCCTCTTCCGAAGAACTGTCCGCGGATTCACCAGCGGCGTCACCACCAGAGTTCGAAGAAGATAGTTCTCTTTCACTCCCTCCTTGCGCTGTTGCTGCTGCTCCGCTGAGAATTTCGCGCACGACATGTTTGTCGACCACCCCGCTACGCGGAGGCGGGGGGTTGGGGTTCTCCTTCCCCTCGGCCTTGGGAATACCACCACCATCTCTCCCCGGCGCCTCAGAGGCCGACGTTGTCGGCTTTGCGGTGGTCGGCCTGCGGGTTTTCGGGATGCATTCGATTTCCCGCCGGGTGTACCCATTCCCCCCTCCAGAGTGCTTCAGCACAGCCTACGAAGGAACCGAGGGAGGTTAATCCATGATTTTAGCAGTGAAATCCATACGGCTCGCGGCATGACAGCAGTACGTAACGCGGAGTCGAGTTGAGCAAGCCAAAAGCGATTCTTCCGACAAGAGGGCGAGAGGCGAGTACGCTACGAAATGCCCTGCCAAAGCAACGCGAGCCTCACACAATGGTAGCAAGATGGCACACCTGAAACGCGCGTTCCAGAACACGTCGCAAAACACACAAGACCCCCGGACTCAAGCTTGATTGCTTCGCTAGCGTCTTCGAACCGTTCGTCAACGAATGTCGGCATGAACGACTTGTTTGTCACGAAAGCTCGGAACTCTGTGTCGCATTATCACAAGGGCGGTTGGGTGTACGACAAGCAATGCAAGTTCAACAACATGAAGGTGGCAGAACCAATTTCAACTACACGCCAAATATCCGCTTGGTGTCATTGTGTGCCGTTCCACAATTGGCGATCGAACGCGCTCACCATACAACCCACGGAACGCCTGCATAAGGGACATGAAAGCCCTGGCGCAGTGTCGCGTTTTGCAGGGATTCGGTCGTTGCGGGTTCTAAAACGTTGTTGGGTTGCTAGTTGGATGCAAGGCTTCCTTCGCCAGCACAGCGACAACCTATCAACCCTCGCTCGGCGGAGGCCGTGTTGAGGACATCGGTCAAAGAATTGAGTCAGAACGTTTCTGGTTCTGTTATGGAAACTCAAGCTATGTTTATCGAGCCAGGTGGCCGAGGATTCTAAATCCCACGACGTTGGCAGCAACGGTACCCTCGAGGGCAACAACAGACCATTCTCCGGTCAAACTTTCGTGCGTTACTCGCTTTGTTTCTGGTGGGTATGGACGTGCCGCCTGATGTTTTTCGATTGATCGGCAGTATCGTGGGTTCAGCTGGGCCCGAGGGAGTTGTCTTGTCATGCCGCATCAATGAAACCAACAGTGAAGAAAATGCAGGACATACGCACCCCTTCGTATTCTTCCATTTGCTCCTCGAATTTCTCCTGCAAGACGTTCAAGCAGTTCCCGGACCGCTTGAGTAGCGATATGTTCGCCTCCAATACCACCTGCCGTGGTTATGTTGTTTTCATGATGCAAAACGAGAGAAGAACGAGCGCAATAAGAAGTGAGGAAGGGAGTATGAAAACACAACGCGAGACATGGCGGGAACATACCCGCGAAAGACGCACATTGAACACGTGACAAAATGTCATATTGCCTGCACTTCTTCAGCAGCTTGCACCAGCCTAAGCCGTTGGGTTTTTACCTTGACGACGTCCCCTCTCTCCAAATACTTCTTGACATCGTTCACTTTCCTGCCAAAGTCGTGGTCCGCGATCATGCCCTGGAAAGAAAATTAGAGGTGGTGTAGCAGTTACCATAATTACGAAGGACCAGTATTCGTGCAGCGTTGCGAACGGCTAAACAAAAGACCCTATCAAGAGAAGCAAGAAAGAAGGAGCCGCTGTAACCAAGACGAGTTTTGTATTCCAGAACGGGAAAAAGGGTGTGCGCTAGAACAGAGATTTCCGGTGGGCAGTTTTCACGATACTGGGCGTGTTGTGTTGATTTACCGCAGCTTGGCCATTGTTTCTGTTTTTCGGCGAGACACACGAGCCCTAAATGACATTTCTAAGACAGGTGAGGACGCCAATCATCAAGAATACGACACGAATACGTTGGATAGCAGTGTCACTAGGCAAGGTAATGCGACCAACTCGAAAGATAGTTTGGAGTGAACAAATCGCGTGGCATCTCAGGAGTAAGCTGGGCCACACACAGCAGTAGCAAGGCGATTCCAGAACAACACGTCAGTGACGGCACGCACCCCCAATCGTATCTCCTTCTTCTTCTGGATCCTTTTCGCGTTGGCCTTTTTCTGCTTCTTCTTCCGGTACTCCTCCTTCTTGAAGTCCATGAGCCTGCAGACCACCTGGTCGTTCTTACCGCTACTCACTGTTATTTGTTTTGTTAGCGTTGTACCGACCAGCGGCCGGCCACGTCATTCATCCGACATGGAGGAATACGTGCAGGGAACAAGCATGGAGGCAAAGCAAAAATGGAGACGAAGCAGGTGAGAGATGTGCGAACTAAGGTGTTGTGGATACACGGAGACAAAATATGATTGTCAACTTGGGAGCGTGGAAGGGTTGAGCGGGGGGAGGTGAACGTGCTCAAGATATTGCTTCGTCCCTCGTGGGAATGCTAACACCAAAATGCTTGTAGATAAGGAACGCCAATTTTTTTCTTGTTTCGACCATACCACAGCAGTACTGCTGCTGCGTCTCGCTCTCAAGCTCCGCACAGCAACATGCCCGCGATCGAGATTATCCCTCTGCCGCAGCGACTCATTTGCCTGCTTCAAACCATGGCTAGCCTGCACCACACCGCATAATACTTACCTTAAACCTTCAACATTCGCGCAAATTGATCCTGAACTCTTGCTGATAAAACATTAATTCGTTTTCTTCTTGTAGACAAAAAAGAAGAAGCGAAAATCCATGTCACTCGAAGCGAGGTTTTGTCAACATCAACCACATTTCAGTTGTGAATATATCGGCGTCTCCTTCCTCACCCTGCACCAGATCGAGGTTTACAGCATCTGCGGCGGCGAGCGCCTGCTGCCGAGAGACAGTGGTAGCCTCCTTGGTGCCGTCTTCTGTTTCCAACACCAGCAGAATCTTCTCGGCCTTGATCTTCTTGTTCGTAAGCCTATTGCAGCACCGCGGACACGTGTGAAGAACATGGAAATGTTATGTTTGGTACTCGAAGCGTTGTGCTGCTGTTCTTCAGGTTGATGCCCTACCCTCTAGAACACGGAATGACAGCGCCGAAGTTGGGGCAAGGCCACGATGATTCCTACATACCGAAGAGGTTTCCCTTTCACCAAGATAACAACTTAATGAAGATGCAAAAGGTCCAAGTACCATGGGAGCGGGAGAATAGGAGGTCAAAACATCAGAAGATAAGGACGTGCGCAGCAGTGGGTACGAGTTTACAACGTCACCCTACACCACTTTAGCGCTGAACAGTCGAGGTTGTACTGCTGTGGTGTGCGTGGTTCTCGCTGGAAATCAGGAAAACGAACAAGTCGAAACACAGGTATCAACAAAAAAAAATGCTGGATCCTACATGTGAAATAAGTCCAGTACCAAGCCGGTTTTCCTCCACTCAGGCTGAGTCTTACGGCGTGATTATTTCGGAGATTTATGTTTTTCTTTAGGTCGGGGGGGGGGTGGCCTGCACGGAAAAAAATATCAAGATCCAAACGACCGTCTTGCGGTTCCTCGAGGTAAATTTTTTTCTGAAGGGAAAAAAGAGGCTGATTCATGTTCTCTTGAGTCACAACAACATGCTTCAGTACACGGTTTTGGCTCGTGTGCGACCAACAAGACACGAAGCGCCCTGTTTATGGGTCGCCTGCAGAGGGCAGGTGTATCATCGCACGCCAGTGGCTGCAGTTTGTGGATGTCGTCCGCCAAAGGTCTCTCTCTGATGGCATGCGTTGTACACTGATCACACTCGACTCGGAGCAAGCGGCAGAAAAAAAAAGCAACGTCGAAAAAAGGCAACACCGAACCACACCTCGATTCACGTTTGCAGGCCGTGTGCAATCAAAACTGGACAATACGCTCTGGTTCTGGGACGCGAGCAGAGGGTATGTGTATGACCACACGCCACTGGCTGCTGTTTGTGGATGTCGTCGGCCAAAGGCCTCTCTCTGGCATACGTTTCTGGCTGGTTGCGGGTGACACATGGAGCAAACACGCGGCGGAACAAGAAAAAAGACCAAAAAGTCACCACCGCAACACACGTTGGTTCACGTTTGCAGGCCGTGTGCAATCAAAACTGGACAAAACGCTCTGTTTCTGGGACGCGAGCAGAGGGTATGAGTATGAACACACGCCATTGGCTGCAGTTTGTGAATGTCGACGGCTTAAGGCCTCTCTCTGGCATGCGTTTTGAACTGGTTACACATGCAGCAGGCGCAAATACGGCTCTTTTCGGCCCAAAGGCAAGAACCTCAGCAGAGCAATGTGGCAGGGTTGACGTTTTCGGCTCGTGTGCGGTCAACACGACGCAGAACGCCCTGAACTTTAGTTACCTGCAGAGGGTTTGTGCATGACCTCATGATACTTGCCTCTGTTTGGCCAGCAGACGGTGTAGTTCCTCGTTCTGGCACGATCGGGGTGTGACCAGGGGGTACCCCCCCCCATTTCTAACAGCGATATTCCAACAGGATCGCTGTTGGAAAATGGGCCATTTTCTAACAGGCCGGCCAGAATCGCTGTTGGAAACTGCGCTGATGGATTTTGGGCTGTTGGAAATTGCCATTTTCCTACCCGTTAGACGCCCAAATTATTTTTTTGACTCAGAAAAGGACCCCCCCCAATCCGGAAATAATCACGCCGTAAGACTCAGCCTCAGTGAAAAGACTCCACCACATGCCGTTCGAATGTGGGTATATCTCGAACGGGTAGTCTTTCTGTGTGTGTCTTTATTTTTCCTAATGTGCTACTCACGGTCCATGCTTCGTGTGCGCCCCAAATCCGGAATCCGGAGGGTGGTGAACGCAGCAGGTTCGGGGATGAAGTAATTTCGCCGCATTTGGTGCAACGAAGCACGCGTTCGCGTGCAGTTCAGCAGTTTAGAGTGTGTTGGCCTATGCAACGGCAGTTCCTATCCAGGCACAGCCGACAGAGTTGCCAAAAGTCCTATGCCACGCGGTATCGGCGGCCCAGTTTGTGTTCAAGCACTCCAGGCAACAGCTTATAGCAAGCAGCTCAAGCACTCCAGGCAACAGCACAGCAAGCAGCTCAAGCAAGCAGGTCCACTACTGTACACTGACCAACAGGGGAAAAAGAAGGCAGAGGTTCGATCTTTAGAAAGTACGTGGTACTTCGTATTCGATCCTTGTCGCGTGCAAATGTACGTACGTAGGCACTCGGGCTACGCAAAGCATCAATCATACTTACATCTGGCCACCGGCTTTGCTGCTGCGACTGCTCAGGAACCGTTTCCCTGCCTGTTGCTGCTGTCTTGAGCACAACCCCAACCCCACCGCCCCTCCTCTCCAACAACCGGCGTAGGGCTGCCCTGCTGAAGTGAAGGCCGGAAACCTCCCGGTGACAGGTAACGGAAGCCGGGGAACGTGCTCGCCACCGCCGCTACGCGTCGTTGCCGACTCGCTGTGTGCATGGCCAGAGGACTGGACGCTGGAACAAAGCCACTCCGGCGAAGCAAGAGCTGCTGCTGTCAATGCGGACGGATTGTATGCCGATGGTGCCACCGAGGGTTCATCTCGCCGTGTCGTGGCCAAAGAGAGGAAGGCATTGCTGTTGCTGCTCGTAGGCCTGGAAGGAGGCCTGCATGCGCGCCGCAGATCGGCTCGAAGGAACCTTGACGCCATTGCCTGTCGATATACCACTCGGCAGAGGGCTGGTAGCACGAGCACAGCTATGCTCCCGTGTCCAGCTCGTTGCGCTGCATCATGCACTCAACCAGGCGGTGGCGGCCCCGCGATTGGTACTGCTGCACGGTAGTGGGGTCAGGTTCAGAACCGTTTTCTTGTCTCACGGATGTGGATATTATGGATATTCGCACCTGGTTTGCGATCAAAATGCTTTGTTGGGCCTATCGTGGGGCACTATGTAGATCTTCGCAACTTCGTCCCAGCTACCCTCAATGAGAAACCTCGGCAGACTATGGATGTTCCTTGCATTGGTTCTTCTCGCTCCAACAGCAACCGGACAAAACAGACAACATCGGGACGGCCGCCGCCATCTCCAAGAATCATCACCGTGAGCAACGAAGTTCCTGCGTGACCATTGTATGCACACGGAGAAGGAGATGGTCTCTCCGCGGTTGGTTGGTTCAGGTAGCCTAGAGAGCTCACAACGTCCTGCTGCAAGTTTAAACAACCCGCGCGGTAAATAATGTAAGGCGTCTACATTGTGTCCGGCGAGTATAAATCTGACATCCCAATCAATACAGCGGTCATGCATGTGTATGGGGAGCAACCTGGTTCGGTCGGATATGAGCCCTTCTGCCGGACTACGTGTCGGAGCTGACCCCCAGCTGTAGTGTTGGGGGATGCCCCGACCGTATTCAGCAATGATACTTGTGTGCAATATGCTGTCGACTACTTCTGTGTGGCCCCACTTTGTCTGCTGCTGGGCACGTAGAATTCCCAGCCGCCGTTCACATACAATTGTGCACCAATGATGCTCACAATTGCTCGGCAAGCAAGCCCACGATTTGTTCTCCACATGCCCACCCTATGACCCTATCCCACCCGACGACTAGCACACAGAAACTGCTGTCCGTACAACAACGGATTGACGTCGTTGTCGTGCTGGAAGGGCCCTCGGACCAAACGACAGCCCTGGTGTTTCGTGACATCGCTGAGACTGTGCAGGATGGTCTGCAAAACCTTGGGCACCCATCGACGATTGTGTATTGCACGAACTTGGTGACTGACCATTGCTTCGCCAAAGGAGGGAAATTCATCATCCTCGCGCCACACAATCTGGCGAGCTACTTCACTGGGGATGGAGGACTAGCGGTACTCGAAAAGCAATTGCTACCACCCGACGCAGGTGATGCCACTCTTTGTTTCCAGGAACGCGAGAGAGAGACAGAGAGACAGAGAACTGCACCAAAGTTTAGGCCTTTCACATGGCCCAGGATTGAACTACCCATCCGTTCTGGTACAACTTGTACCACCTCGCACACACACGTCTACGCCACCCCACCTCGGATCCCTGATTTTTTTCAAACTTTGACCTGGTACCTTCGTTTTTGTCGTACCTCTCTGCTGCAAGTTTTGTACAACTTCGAACAAATACCTTGCCGTTGGCCGCGAGAATCGACGAATCTCGTAGAACCTGGGACAAGAGACAGAAGCTTAGTTTCAGCTCGAACGCTTCAGATCTACGGAAGCTACACGTTATGGGACTATTCAGAGGAGAACACGAAGCGTTTGCTGGACATGAGCATCCATGCCGACCTAGTTCCACTGGGTTTCGCCTCAAAGCTCCGATCCAGCAGTCTTCTCGTCGCGGGTGGCCACGTACTTGAAGAACAGGAGCACGAAGATATCGACGTGCTGTTCATTGGGATGGAAACTCCTACCCGGCAACGGACCATTCGTCGACTGCGCGACGCCGGCATCATGGTTTTCCACCCGAACTCTGAGAGAGTGGACCTGTTCGGTGCCGCATTTGATACAGTATCCGCCAGGAGCAAAATCGTGCTCAATTTGAACGCCTTTGAAGGGGCCACAACGACTGCGATCGAGTCCAGGAGCAACGGCAGCAGCCCAGGAGATCTTTGTGACAATGGGGAATGGAAAATGCCCCGACTTGCCCGTCTTTTGGCCAACGGAAGGTGAGCGGGTGCAACGATCAAGTGAGAGCTCGTTGACACTGCTGTAGTGCGTGCTTGATGCGGGCTTCCAAATTGACAGGTGTTGCTCCTCGCTCGTCCGACGAGCGAATAAATACTGGGCGCAGGGCCTCTACGTACATGCGAGATGTCGCTATTCTGGATTTGTGTTGGAATTATTGAAATGCTTGACTTTCACTCATTTATTTCGCGGCTTGTCAACCAAAATTCCACTGCGCACTCGCTCGTAGGTTTATCGTCAGCGAGATGAGCGGTAGTGATTCCGAGAGGGCAAAGTTTTCTGGGGGAGTTGTGTTCGCACCACCGGAGCGCCTCGCGGAGACGTGCCAGTTTTATCTTCAAAGGCCAGAATTGCGGATGAGCATCGCCCAGAGCGGCCGCCGGCTCTTCGAGCAACATCTCGAAGCCGATATATTGAGGAGGCCCGTTGGCAGGCATCTTGCAGCGCATAGAGTGCTAAATAGATAGATGACTGGATAGTTGAGTGAGCGAAATTGACACATGCGAGCGCCTCGCTGTCGGACGGCGCGCAGAACCCGTTGCAATGCTAAACACCGTTCTCCTTATTGCTAATAGGCTATCGTATGTCGAAGAATGTGTGTTCGGCATGCTGCGAACACGTGCTTCCGTGTAGAGACAACTGTGGTTGACCATGTGTACGAATTCGTGGTCGAGAGTGGTCCTTTGATGACGTCTGTGCTTTGGAATGCGATCCCATTTCTGCATTCGGTGTTAGCCTGAATTGTACTTTCGACGCCCAATGCGCCTTAGCCGTCGGTCGTGATGTAGAGCTTCCCTGCGGCCTTGCTTTTTCCGACTCATGAGCTCCGATCGCGGGGCACGCCGACCAATCTCTTGGCAGAGGGCGCCCTTATGATTTCTTAGGTCGAGAGGGGGGTCAGGTCCTTCTATAAAGAGTTATCATGAACAAGCACGTTCTTCTCGCACAAATATGGAAGTAACACCCGTCACCGGGATTGGAACCCCCCCCCTAACTGCTAGGTCTTGCACCATTACCGTCTAGACATCCCGGTCTCACGGACCACGCGAAACCCCGAACCCAATCCACCGGTCCTAGATATTATCATCCACATCGTCCAGATCATTTGGAATCCCAGTCTAGAGTCTTGACGAAGTCTTCCTCCGTGAAACCCAGCAGACGAGCCGCCTCCACATGGAACTGGTGAGGCAAAGCGCCGTACAACCGGTACGAGAAGTATCATGGGTGTGAACCTTTCGCCGAGAAGGGTTTCATGAAGCAGTACGTCTATCATAGTTTTCAAAACTAGCGCGTGTTCAATATCCTGTGCATTTTCTCTGTTTGGGACCACTACAAGCGGGTGCCAGAAACCGTGCGAAGCTCGTTGCGTCGGGAAGGTATGTTTCACGAGGGAGAGAACGCGAGGCTCCCCTGTAGTAGGCCTATTGGTGGGTAGATTTAGATATGGAACACAATTGCGACCACGAAACTACTGGGTAGCTGGATTACGACACGTGAACCTGTCCGATCGTTTCTGGGGTTCTGTGGTATTCAAACTTCTCGAAACGGAGAACACGTGAAAACAACGCCACCAAAAACGCATTTACAGAGAGGGGCGACTTTTGCCCAGGCAATAAACAATAAACAGAACGTCATGCGCAGATGATCAAGATCAATGGTACGACATCAACTTGACACGCTGACGAGAATGGTTTACTCAGGAGGTCCAACGATCCCGCAAATTAGGCACAGATGTTCATGCACTACCGAACTTGCTGCAAGTTGTGGTCACGGCTCACCTTTTGGCGCTTCAAAACGTCGATGAGCTTGAGCTGCTTCTTGAATGCAGATAGCAACTCAAGCTGCCGGACATCGACAACAAGACGGACGAAAGGCCGAAGGGGCATCAAAGGGGTGGTTGCGCATCTCAATACGGGCGAAACAGTGTTGTCTTCAAAAGCCGCGAAAGACACCCATGATAAACCCCAAGACCGCCGGGCAGTGAATACGTGTCACCGTACCGCACCAAAGATCGTAAAAAAAACTCTATTACCCAACCAGCACCTCAAAATGGCCGCGTTTAAGTAATTACACCGATTTTTCATGTTTCCTTTCATACTGCCTCACGCTTTTCCTCACAATCTGTTTTCCCGGTGGTAGCGCCATACCCCAACTGTACCATCAACAACACAATACCACATAAACCAACAGAGTGCCACCACCGTGCCATGTACCGCAGCCCGTGTACCAGACTTTTATACCTTCTGCCTCTCCAAGCGCTGGCAATGTCCCTCTAGCCGAGCCATTTCCAGACGCTGTCCCTGGCCAAGGTCCTTGTGCTGTCCCCTCGTCTGGCGCACGGCTTCCTTCTGTTTAGAAGCCTCCTCGAGAGCCCGGTGAAGCCGTACTTCTAGTGACTGCGATTGGTTGTTCAAAACCCCGGAAAATAGAGCGACAAAACAGCAGCAGCCTTCATACAGCTGGCACCATTCCATGATTCATCAGGGCTTAGGCCAGGCCCAAGATTGAACATATGGATCAGATGAAACACCTCCATGGCTGAAGAAAATTGCAACCTACAGCTGCAGAGGTCAATCACCACAACCCACAACAATAATGGGTTTCGAGAAGGAGCTTCTTGGCGTGAAGGGATCCAAGCTCTTCATGCCCTATGGCATCTACGCGAAGACCTCGTCCTGTGTAAGTCATTGGAATATTCACCAAGATGAAACACGCGTATGCATACGTTACGACGAAAAGCAGGATCTAGTTGTGGGAGTCTCGGAAGCTACGCATTCGCAACCAAACAGCACTGCAAGCAAAGTTCCGTGGGGCGAACAAGGGTATGCGCCACGACCTTGAAACACGCAGTTGTAGGCTTCTTCGAGCACTGATGGAGAAAAGTCGAGGCGGTGCCCCATTATGTTGCCAGTGTCAGTATAGACTATCCGTTACCGCTAACCCTACTACGCGCAAGCACAAGAGGTACAGGTCAGTTTCGTACCAAATGTTTGCCAACGATGAAGCACCTTAACTGATGCGCCACAGATACGACAGCTGGAAAACTGTGGTAGACACACTCCTCGCCCAAAACATGATCTACTACGGCGTCAAAGTTGATGGGACTTGACATAGGACAGCACTCAAGGCGTATCCACACACGGGGCACCTTCTTGTCTGTCTCCGACTGCCTTGCAGCCCTTCGAGACGATCCCAGCTCTTGTTCCAGTTCGTTTACTCTCGCCGAGAGCGAAGCAACGCTCAAAACTTCCTCTTCCTGCACGTCGGCATAGCATTGGTCGCGGCTTTCTCATTGGTCAAAGTCGAGAAGAAAAAAAGAAAGCAGAATGAGGTAAAACAAATCCGGGCACTTCAAGGCGTTTGTCATCTTCATGAGACGCAACTATGAAAACAGAAATGTAAATTGATGTGAGGCGCAAGTAGTGACAGAGGCCCTCAGAATCGGCTCTGACTCATTCATACCTAGAAAAACGGTCTGAATCTCTCATCTCTCTGTTGAAGCTCGTGCTTGAGTGACCAAAAAGAGGTTCAATCTTTCGAGAAGGCCGTAAATGTTGATACATGCATACCTTCGCTTTGCTCTCCTTTGATCTAGTTTGCTGCAGCTGCTGTAGTTGACGAGCCGTGCGCCTTGTCTGGTCTTGATCCGACGCACACTGATCAGAGTGGCACAGACAACCGTCATCGTCGAAGTCATGCATTGATATACCACCACCAACAGCACCGACACTATCACCAGCAGAACAATAACGACAGCAACAACCGATTCAGCAGCAGCAGCAGCAGCAGCAGCAACAGCAGCAACAGCAGCAGAAGCAGCAGCAACAGACGTCTACCTGTCTCCTTAGTTCCGCAGTCTCCTGCTGGCTAGCCTGGTGCGCCTGCAGCACCTCCTCCAGCTGTGCTTGGCATGCCGCCAGTTTTGCCTTCAAGAACCTTGAATCGAACGAGTAGCAGCAAAATGTGTCGGTGCACAGGTATGAACGAGATTGAGTGCTTGAAAGACGGCTTCTTGATTGCCGTCATGCATTGTGTCAAAACTCAACTCGGCCAAGAATAGAGACAGGGGTTGGGACTACACGGGAGCTTGCGGGCGGGAGACGCACGCATAAATGGATGGGCGCTTTTACAATCGTCTGACCGACAAACCTAGTGTGCTGTCACACATGACCTTGAGGTAGCTTCTTCCCCTATCCCCGCCGGAACACCGCCCCCGGTATGGTTTTGGGCACCCTGGGCAGCTCCGCCCCTGCTGGTCTGGCCTCCATTTGAGTCTGCGTTCTGCTTCCCTCTTCCTACTCCCCGTGACAAGCCCGGTCCCATCCCGGTCGTTCTTGAGTCCTGCTGTTGTTGCTGCTGAGGTAGCAAGGGAATTTCTCCTTCATGTCTTGGTTCCTGGGGGTCGCGGTGATTCAAATTTGTTCGCCGGGTGAAACTAAACAGCCAGTGTCACAGCAAACGTCCGGGCTAGGGGTGTCGTGGTGGTGTTTTTTTTTGCTCGTGCAATGCCACACACAAGGTGATCATCTTGCGGTGGTTCTGAGGTCGTCTCCAAACCAACGCATACGTACGTCCTATGGAGCGTAGGAGTATGCTTGAGGAAGCATGACAAACATCACCCCGCACAGACTTTCCCTATCGACTTAGGCCTACCGGAGGTCGATCGTCCTGCAAAGCCCAGAACCAGCGTATTCTTGGTCCTAGCCCAGTTGATTCGCAGCAGAGAAACCGTAAACCATAATGATAATGAAGAAACGACCATGACCACGCACCAACTACCATCAAATCCACAACGACGCCTCTTGCCAAGCCCAAGCGATACAGGTGTATCTCTCGACGTTGTAGATCGCTCCATCGACGTCTCGAGTTTCAAACTTACAGAGGAGCCGCTGTGATTGTTGGCGTAGTCTCCCGGGCGAGGGGAGAGGCTGCAGCCGCTAGCAGTTTTCTTGAGCATCCTGCGCTCTCCTGACGCCCTTGCCGCCCCCTTCACTCTCTCTGACAGCCGGAAAAGCGGCGATTCCGTCGTCGCAGCGTCACCTCTGGCCATCGCGACGACCCCGTGTTCTTTCCTTCCTCCATGCTGACCACTATCATCCTCGTGGTCGATGTTGAAACTGAAGTTGTTGGTATCGTCGGTGTCGGTGTCCCACACCCCACCGCCTCGGCTTCTCGAAACTGCCATCGCAGAACGTGCCGCAGGACCAGGTTGCGATGTTGCTAAACTTGTTCCGTTTCCTCCCTCGACTCCCGACATCATCGAGTGAGGTACGACCTTCAGACCAGGTTGGATGGGCGATGTTCTCTTGCTGTCTGCCGTAAACGGTGTCCCTCTTGTGTTGCCGTTGGTGCTGTTGTTGTTCGCCCCATTGGTGATCCGTACTACATTGCCGGTCGTGCTACCGTTCGCAGTAAGGCCGCCAGCACGTCCATCGGTATGACATTTGAGATGATCGTTATTGTTGACGTCGCCGTTGACCTTGCCGCCACTAGGCCTCTTGGTGTTGGGCGGGCGAGCCCGGGGGGCGCTTAAGTAGGTCTCCATGTCAGATATGGCTGCACGAGCGCCGGCATCTAGTTCTGCATTGAGCCGAAGCTGTGTCGCCTGGAGCAACAGACCGGGCTGGATTAATTCGACTGTTTGTTCCTGACGGGGCGATCTGGGGGAGTAATGCTACATGGGACAGCAAATACACATGGCTGCTACTTCTGTTGACCTTTGGCCCGACATGCTGCCTTCACGTCTGACTTTCTGGGCCAAACACAGGGAAGTGCTTCTCTACTTATAGGTGTGTCTGTTACTACATATTTCCCCATGCTCCAGCAGTATTATGCCATGGTAGTGAACGGGCTTGCTTGCGTCTAGGTTCTGGGTCCTGGTATCGTCGTTCTAATCTGTACTGTACAATGTTTGCCTGCGACCGCGGAGGTGTCGCGCAATCGAAGTTCCATATCGTAGAAAGGTGCTGAGCAGGTTTTAACATTTTTTAAACATAACACAAGCGTGGATAGGAAGAAACAGCAGCTCCAACAGAGAGCCCGAGAACTTCTTCCGCTATAATGTATGGACTATGTATGCATGCTACTGCTGGAATTACGATTAAGGGCCCCCAGAACAGGGGTTTTGACGCTGGCTCTTTTCTCATACTTAAGTCCAATATAAGAAAGAAAACAACCTTCCCGCACGAGGTACCTGGTAATTAGTACTGTTATCAGTAGAGGACACCATGAAGAGGCTTCGTGCGTGCTGGCACGTTCAGGTTTGCTACTGGAGCTGAAATATCGAAGGTCGCAGCAACCTCTGAAACAGTCCGAAATCTGCGCCGGAACCAAGCGACATCCAACATTTGTCACAGTCGTGCTCACCGCCACGGACCCCAATCTCCTGAACTGTGCGCTTACAGCAGTAGCTCATGCTCTACTGATAACAGTACTAATTATCAGGTACCTGTCAACACAGACCTTATTTGAACGCCTGCCGTTTTGGCTCTTTTGACTTGAAATTAGAATTAGGCGAATTTTTATCTTGATTTCAAAGGGGGCGTGCGGAGGTAGACGCGTGAAATGTATGTTTTTAGCAGCCTCTACTGTCGCCCTGTGCGGGATTCAACGACTTCTGTTTTTTGCGATGCCTTCCGACTGGTCTTGTGTGTCTGTTGAACAATTTCTGGTGCTCTTGCGTATGTTTTCAAAATTATTTTCAACATCGAACTTGCTGTTCTGGGGGCCCTTAAGATCACCTTGTAGCGAGCAAACATCAACATTGGGCTGAAGACAACTGAGTTTGGATCCACTGTAATCAAGACCACATGCAGCCAGCAATATGGAATAGCAATATGTAGAAACACAATGGTTCGTTTGTCCCCCTTGTGCTTGTCCCTCTCTCATTCAGACACGCGCTCCCCGACGCCGTCCTGCAGACAACAACTGCTACTTCTGTCATCGCAGCGCCTACCGTACCAGGATACTGTAGATACCAGAGGTTATAGCAAAATCTCCTTCTTCTCACAGGCGAACAACTGAATGCAGGATCCGACGGTAAGTCTAATAAAAATTATTGACTTGCCTCTCGCCGTGCCAGAGTGTCCATGGCCCCAAACCCTTATGGGGGTGCAGAGAAATGTGCCCTAACTTCCACACCGCGCTCGTTGGGCTTGGCGGAGAGCGGCGCGGCAACTAGGAAAAACGATTGTAGCCAGGTATGTACGCGGGGGCGCAGCAAAAAAAAAAAAGAAACGGTCAATATATTACTCGCTTTGGGGTGAACTCGTCGACGTCCCGATCAGGTGCGCGATAACCCTGTCATGAGTGTGGCGTGGCAACTACAAGTGGGTGGACTCATTCTTGGATGCAGCTAAGCGGAAGAATGTAACTAAGGCAAGGGATGATTCCTGTTGGCAGATCTTGAACCGCTCCAGGTTGACACACCGACCGTGCATGTTGGTCGGTGACGAGGAGCTCGCGCTCCTACAGCAGTACACACCACCGAAGGCATGGGAGGGGCAGTCAGCTCAAGGCGGGCGACGGCATCTAACTTTCCGCTTCAAGACTGGGGTCGTGAAAACACCGATTGGAGAGGGAGGCAAGTGCTGAGCAAAGTGCTGAGCTTGCTCAGCAGTAGATTCAGCAGTACTGGAAGTATATGTAGTTTGGTCGCCTGACATTCGCAGCGCAGTACCGTCTGTATAGAGGTGGTACCTGTTCATCGCTACAAGTGGTCACTAATCTGCGCTGTAGGTACACTAGTGCTGGTTGTTGTTTCTCCACGAGAAACAAAGCCGTGCTTTGCGCAGGTAAAATTGCTTCCGACCGAGTACAGGCCGGCACAGTTTCTTCATCCCGCCCACACGCTCACGATGAGGTCGCCATGGTCTGCCAAGGGCTGCGGCGTGTCCTTGCAGTGCTGTAGATGCAGTTTGAGCGGGCCAGATTAAACTTGGTATGTAGTCAGGGCCTTGCACATGGGTATAGTAAGCCTCAGCAGTGGTGAGCCAACCCCGCGAAGAAATCTACTATCCGTATCCTCGAGGTGTATGTTGCTCGCGACACGAGCAGCATTTGTCCACCTATTGTATGACAATCAATCGTGAATACATGCAAGGTGAGTAGGAAATACTACATCGTCTCCAGACGACACTGTACTGTAGACTACGTACGACGTACAACGTACACAGCCGTCGGCTGTAGAGAGGCAGAGAGGACGTGTCACGACGTCACGACGTCACGACAGCACACTGGTGCGAAAACAGCCCAAATGGCACGGCGTACGTATCTCATCGGTGCCAAACCAAATGCTGTCTTCGCCTCACGTGCAGAGTTATGTAGGCCTAGCAGCTAAATGCCCCATCACAACATAGTCTACATGTACAGTAGGCTTCCGAGCAATCAGCACCGTCGAAATGACCAGAAGTGACAAAATGATATTAGGCAGCAAAGGGCTGTTCTCTCGAAACTAAGTCTCCGCTCTATGTGATAGTAGGTGATATCGAGTAGACTACAGTCAACCGATTAACTGACGAATTTAATGCCTGGGCAAACCCAGATTGGTCGCCAATGAAAGCAGGTTTGAAGCTGCCTCACGAATGGAACAGAAGGGTGGAAGGACTATCTCAGAACCACCCCTAACGGCCAAGAAACACAGCACATACCAAGACGGCCAAAAGAACGAGCCTGCTGCTGACAGTGCGGGCGAGGATGGGCTCGAGTCGGACGCGCGCAGCCAACGTCAAAATACGTTTACCTCGCTGCAGGATGAGGTTCACAAGAAGAGGGCCGTGGGCATGAGGTGTGGTGGTTGAGATGTTGAGGAGCGCCAGAACAGCAAAATACCTTGGGACATCCCTTGCGAGCATCAAACATGAGCCGTGGCGATGCAATGCCCCTGCCATTTTGGCGTTCTGACGAAAACGACCGCCAGCAAGCGTCGAAACCGGTGGAAGCGAGCGTCATTCTTCTGCTGCTACCCCTTAAGGTCCCGCGGAATTTCCTTGTTCCCTATCCATCAGCTGGCGACGAATGCTAAATAGGCGTTGCTGGTACCCCCGTCGCCCCCTTGCTAATCCTAGATTCCCGAACTTTCTGTCTTCCAACACCCACCTGCACTGCATAAATCCAAGCTACAACGAGATATTTAGCGAACTAGCCGCCAAAGCAAAGGACAATGAAGGGGCGAAAATGGAAGCTGCCGACAAACCCCGGAGGTTGACGGTTGGGGAAACGAACCGGTTCTTCAAGCGCACAGTTGCTGACAACAATATAACGCCGATGCCCAAGGGGTTTCGTGGCATTGCAGGGGAACGGTGAGGAACAAACAAAAACTGTTGTGGATAGCCAGTAGCCAACGCTTCAGAGGAACGGTTGTTGGATCGTGTAGGGTGCTGTTGCCTTAGCGTAATATATTCGTATACAGGACTTACTTGGAGCTAGGGGTGCGTATCGCGAAGAGCAGCGGCGCACAATAACAGTACCAATGAGGAGCATTTGCAGTTTGCGGCGTATGACCAATCTGTGTGACACGATAGGCTCGAACAATTTGATGTGAACGATGCTTTAGTCAACGATGGAACGAGGCAAGAAATTCGACATGAAACACGTGTCAACAGCATGTGATACCTTGAGCTGCTGTTGCCGACACAGGGCAGACATAATCATAATCCTTTCTATTTCCACGGTAGCCGTTTGACCAGGTAGACAGACACCCATCATTTTTCAAGAGGTAAACAATGGAGAAAGGCATGAAGGGTACGACTCACTTGAGCGTGTGTCCTTGCCCACCGTTCACTATCATTGGATCCAATCTATCAGCTAGACTCGACCAACATGGATCAGAAACTACAGGACGGATCCTTGCCGAATTCACGATACATGACTTCACTCTTTTGAACTCGAGAGAAAATGATCCAGCGGTATGAACGCAGGTACCCAGTCCGATCTGTCTACCAACTAGCCAGTCACCCTGCCACAAAGGGCCTACCATTGGTTGCGCTCGTGGTGCACTAGTCGGTTCTGAGAGTCACCTTAACCAAATAAACAACACGTGGCAACGACACGAAGCGCAGAACAAATGGGCCTTCAAACGCTAATCCGTTGTTCACGGCTTTGCGCTGTACAACAGAGACGAGACTGTCGACAGAGATGCAACCGGCAGTGGTGACCGAAACCAATCACGTATCAGTCATGTGGATGCACCACGAAGACCAAGCTCAGATGAGGAGTCGGAGGAACTCTTCCCCGGGTTTGTGGAGGAGGAAGGAAACTTGAGGCGATCGACGGGCTCGGGGTCAAAGGACAAAGAAATGGCAGCAGAGGGTCGGGAAGCAGCCGACTCCGCGGGGTATACGACGTCGGTGAGGAAGTTAGAGACGGAAAATATGCATCCGTGCTTGTCATGCTGCAGTTGGGATAAACTTGTTGCTTGCTCTAGAACTAAAATGCTGGCATGGGGTGTGTACCGACAAGCCCCAAAACGCCCAGCTAGATGCGAGGAGTTCGAGGTTAGCCTATATCTGACAAAACACAATCGTTAGACCATGTGGCAACCGAGAGACTGGACGATGTCGACGAAGGAGATAGAAATAGGCTACCTCGAAGCAATACCAACTGACTGATTGAGAGACCCAGATGGTTTTTGACATTCGCGACAGTCCTGGGGTTTTCAAACTGAGCCACACTAGGACAAAACCGTTACGTGACTTACCGTTCTCCAGTCAGTTTCTTGGAACATTGTTTCACGTATCGAATTTCCCGCTTTTGTCAGTCATGGAGTTCTTCTCCACTACAGTAGCTGGCCCGAACTTGTGTCTGTTCCCTCCATGCCCTGCGAATTACACGCTGGACGTTCGATGGATGGTGCTACGGAACGAATCGATCATGACCGACCGGTGCAGTTTGGTAATAGCTTCCGTGATCCCGATCGCGCCAGTGGCATGTCCGCGCCATATAGCACTCATCGCGTGGCGGAATCCCTGTCCTGCAACAAGCCATCACGGAGGGCGCAAATCTTCGACAAAGGGGTGGACGCTTCGATAATGCAGGTACCAACCAATTGACCTTATCTCAGGTCGGCTGGGTGACTCCAGCACCACCTATGTCCATTGACACTACGTGAACGCTTGCACACGAGGGAGCTATCGCATCTGTACGACATCGACTCACGAGTTCCACCCCCACAAGTTTCGGCAAAGTTGGAGGTGCTGTCATTCGTTGAGCATTTTTCTAGTCGATACGGTTTGCCTTGATTGTTCCTAACCGCACGTTCATAGTCCTCACGATTGTCGTTTTTGCTCCGGGGGAGGTGACATTGTTGTCCCAGTTGCCATGAAGGACGAGGAAAACTCCCCTGCGACGGGGAATGCCCTCGACAGTTGAGGATTCGAGATAATAATACGAAGGGAGAGGGGTGTTAATTTACCACTCCGGTTGCATGAACACCCTACGTACAACAACAGCTGAGGACAAAGTTCTCGCAGGCCGTGCGTGGCGTGGGAATGGGAGCTGAAAATTACTGGGCATAGAACCTCCTCGCTAGGGAAAAACAGCGTAGAATCACACTATGTTGTTGTGTGGGGTAGATGTAGTGTGTGAAACAATCAGGCAACAGCCCTTGGAACAGAGTTCAGAACCGAAAGGGAATAGACTGAGTTCCGCGATGGCTCGTGACTTACGTCCAACGGTGTATTTGAGGTCATAAGAAAAACGCGTTTTGTCGCACATGACAGTGACGAAACCCACCCTTGCGGATGCGTCAGTCTTGCTTGGGATTCCAGAAAAAGTTGGTCGTCTTCTTCTCAGGGATTATTTGTCAATGATGCCGTGAACATCTCGTTAAATCAGTTCAACGGCCGGCGGCTCTAGGGGGTATCCAACAGGTTACCCGGCTGTTTCTTGCTATACGCAGGGTGGGGGATATTTTGAAACGACCTTCGTAATTACGCGGCACGCACGCTATTCCATGGAGGCGCAAATGGGAAAGAAGCAGCCTTTGACTGAAGGCATTTTGCGTACGCGTCTGAAACTCTGTCGATTTTTTTCTAGATGAGGCATTTGACACGACCATCGAAATTGCTCGTGGCCTGCCGTTCTCATATCAGGACTTGATGAATGACGATGCTGAAAGCGACGTTAACGTCGATGGAACACCTCGAGGAGGTCTTGGGAAGACCATGTCGCTGCAGAACAACACGTCCATGGGCGAGCAGTCTGCCGACATCGTTGTTGGGGCTCTACGAAAGGTTAGACTACAACGGCCGAAATATCACCACCACATTGGTCGTGGACTATCCCTCACCCTAGCGCTAACCCTCGCCCTAGCGGTCATCCCCCTCCTAACCCCTCTTGGTCCTGGGCAAAACGAAGGCGATATGATCCGGAAACGCGCCAGTCACGTTGGAGGTTTTTGCTTTGGCTTCTAGGAGGCACTCAGTACCGTGTGTAAAAAACAATATTGTAGATGAGCCCATCCAAATGCACGACGATACTTCATACTTCGTGCATGGCCGCCTCACTGTACGCGCAAGGCCATCTTGGCTTGTTCCAGTGGGACATGCTCCACATACCTGTCGACCTCTTTTGACTAACGACCGCTCTTTGCTTAACTCTCGGCGTGCATAGCTGTGTTGTTGGTGCTCAAGCCGTCATTTCAAAACAGCAAGAACATCGTGTCGGCTCGAAGCACGACACCAACCTTGCGGCCTAGTACGAGTTCTAGTCGTCATCGCAACCACAACCTTGATCCGGGGTTTAGTCTTTGGGGTTTCGCTGCGAGGGCATGGTCCTGCCTGGCGTTACCGCCCTCCATCAATCCTTCAGAAACCTTGACATTTCCTCGTCACGCCTACACGCCTCCCAGTTATTTTTTTCTCTCTCGAGCACAATCTCACTGGCATTGTCCAGCAGGTTAACTTTCCCCAACGTTAATCCTCGAAACAACCATGCCTGCCAGTTCTTCTTTCTGGAGCACAATCCCGAGGAGGAGGTATCGGACGCGGGAGGGGGGACAAGCGGAGGGGGCATGGCGATGCTGATGAGAGCCATGGAGCGCGAAGAACACGAGGAGGGCACGTCGGTGATGGAGCAGGTGCGGTCCGCTCTTCCAGAGCATCGCTGTTGATGATGCTGTTAGCGTTGCCGTTGTTGTTGTTGGCGTTGCCTTTGTTGTTGATATGATTACTTCTATCCTCACGATGTTTGTTGCGAGCCAATGTCAAAGCTGCCGCACTGTCAAAAGACGTTGGTCGCCTAGAAGCTGGGTGGCTCTCATGTGATACTTTGATGGCCACCTTGTTTTGAGTCAGTTTCGCTTGCTTTCTTACTCGCTTCGTTTCCGTGTTTTTGTTTTCGTTTTCTTCCTGCCTTAGGGAGAGGAAGGCCATCACATGTCTGTGGTGGAGGAAGGAAGTCTAGAGGTCATCATCGACGATGAGGTGTGTTGGTGTTGGTATTGCTGACACCACGGCTGCAGATTAGACTGTCAAGAACACAGGGAAACCTCATGATAGACAGACTATGCCGTTTTCTCAAGGGGATGGGCAGGTGGTTGGGGGCTTCACAAGGACAATTTCAGTCAACCCTGCTTTAGAAAGCGACAGAGGCGAACAAGATACGCATCATTGCTGCCCTTACATGGGGAAAAATTTCAACATTTTCGCAGATAAAACACGCGCTCTCGTTGTTCACATCAGGCAATCCGTGTGATTGGAGTGGGCGATAGATTTGGAGAGCTAGCGCTTCTCTACAACGCACCCCGCAGCGCTACCGTGCGAACGTTGACCCGTTGCGTGCTCTGGAGCATCCACCGCGAGGTGTTTAAGGCGGTGCAGGCCTTAACGGCCTCAATGTCCCTCATCGCCAGGAGCACCCACCTGTATCACGTTCCGTGGTTGAGGTACGTTAGGAGTGACGTCGTCATGCAAACCCTCTTAGACCCGAGAGGAAACCTTCTACGGTAGATCTACTGTAAATGTGTTGCTTTTTTCTTTCTCAAGTGACCTTAGAATGGGTCGTTGATCGGAAACCCTCTCTTGTCGCCCTCATACTGACAACCACGATCCCACCTACGACATGACGTGGCTGAGGCATGCACCGATAGAGACAGCCGAACGTAAGCATCTGTTCCAGTATCAAAGGTTGTATCTCTACGTAACATGCGCGAGTTGGTATCTTCTAGTCTCTGCGCGCAGTATCTCCTCTTGAACCGTGTGAGGCGATATGACATTACTTACGTGATCGCAACTTAATCGCTGAGGACGCAATGGGGCATGATTGAGACACGTCTGTCTGTAACTCGCGCCAAAAGAAGAGACACATACATGTTGGACCACCTACAGAGAAGACCGCAATTCAAAGTCCCAAAACGAAAGCAGAAGCCATCGTATGACGCACGAGAGGCGTCTAACGTCAGGAATGTTCAAAGTAGGACCGCTGAGGGAAGCCATCCCCGCATGGCTACCAAGAGCGAGAACAATACGCCGTCGGGTACTGCCGACTACAGCCACCAGTGCACAACTTTTGGTTTCGGGCGTGTGAAAGAGGAAACCAATCAAGTCAACCCACAGAATAGGTACACGTACACCGTTTACGAAAGCACTCTTGGGCCTCACCATACCACCGCGCACCCCTGGTCTGCCAGCAGCAGCTCGTCTTAGTCGTGTTTATACCAAGGTACTAAAGGCAGGATGGAGTGGGGGTCGGCCCTGTGAGGCATCAAGCCCGCAAGATCGCCACGTTCTACTGCCAGCAGCTTAAGACCTAACCGTCAGTATCGGTCGCGCTCTAATTGCCGCACCGCTTTGCTGTGGATACCCCCGTTGAGCTTTCCTCTGCACTCAAAGGGTTTGCTGCCACTTCATTCGCTGCTGTTCATTCTAACAACATACTGCCACATTGACTGATCTCTCTTGTTTTCGTCTGGGGGGCAGGCTGCTATCAACGGCGGATTTGTCAAAGCTGGCGGCGTGCTGTCAAACAGCACAATATAGGGACGGGGATGTGATTCTTCGAAAGGGAGAGGTATGTGGTGGATGATAACAGGCAAAAGCGGGCTTACAAGAAAGGAATGAGGGCGAGAGTGAGGGTTCAGGATTAAGAAGAAGGATAGAGGCAGGGATACAGGGCGGTGGAATGGACTTCGTAGCCCAAACGATTGACGGAACCATCCATCAAACAGCACGCCAAGAGGCGTTGGTGTAGAGATTCACGTATAGCGCACCCGTGAAGATGATACTTTGACGCTGTTGTTGCGAATTTCCTGGAACGGAAGAACGACGACAAATTGTTCCATGCAAGCCATCTTCTAAACCAGCAGCAGAGAAGCGATCTGTCTGCACCCGCATGGGGCTTGAATGTTTGAGCGCACGTAGGGCAAATATACGAATGCCAGAGCCGATGCTGGCGACGTTGTGTTGATGCGTGATGTTGCCTCTCGCCCGCCTAATATCTTGTTTATGAGCAATCTTCATGTGGTGGTCGTGATTGCCCCAGACACCGGCGAAACTGCCTCCTCGTGTGGCCACAGTGGTCCAGAAAGACGTATCCCGCACGTCAAGTTGTTTTGTCCTTCGCCTGTGCGTATCACAGGAAACCGACCGCTGCTTTCTAATAGAATCCGGCGAGGTTATCTGCTCAATGCAGCCAGGCGAACAAGAAGGTAAGGGAACCATGCGAGCTATCACTTTGATCAACGCCGGTGTTAATTGGCTCCACACGCCGCGTTTTAATCACATCGAACCAAATGGTTTAATTGTCCAGGCTGTGGCCCACGATACTTCCTTTCAAGAGCAATTGCCCCTTGGTCGCCCCCGCGTAGCTTGGTTCCTCACATGGACTACATGGTTCTCTACGGCGTTTGACACTATTATCGACGACACCTGTTTGCTCTTTTCTTGTGGTTTTTGACCTCAAATACTCCCTGAAACCGTTCCGTCTGTCCCCAACCGCAGCTCTCTGTTCTATGGGAGTTTGTAGAAAGGTGAACACCCTACAGTAAACCGTAAGTGTATCGTGCCTTTGACGATCCACTCTTGGACATAGTGCCATAACGGAGCGTCGCGTGCTTCCGCAGAAACAAACGAACAACCGAGTAACGGGGAAGAGCGTGGCACGAAAGGGGCAGAGGGGATCTGCGAGAGGGTGGAGCGACTGATGATGGTCGCTAGGCCAGGAACGCGAGCAAATGTGAGATGTGAGGGAGTTTCTGCAATCAAGTACCACGCCCGCCATGAATGAACGTTTGTTGAATGTTTCTGAAACGTCAGCGTGGTGAACGTATCGATTTGTAGCCAAGCGTTTAGTCCTTCCTCTCCATTCTTCTCGTCACCATGACCGCGGGTTCTCGGTACAGCTATCAGCCCACGATTTATCATTCGAGGAAAAAAGATGCAAGAAAAGACTCAACATAATGTCAGCTCCTGAGGCTGGCAAACCACTACATAGACTCTGTGTGAACACAAAATTTGAGCAGGTTGTACATATATAGTATATTGTACCCCTTCCTTCGTTCGTTCGAAGGGCCCCGTACTACGTACGTATCACCCTACACTCTCTCGGTTACTTCATTATACGTCATGATAATCGAATTGTTCAATGGAACTCCGTTTGGTATATTTTATACGCCTTTGTGTAAAGCTGGCCTTTGGTCTGCTGAAGTTTGGCTCTCGGTCAAACAAAACAAGCAGTTGGTCGATGCTGGCTTACATGTTTTTCTCCTCGAATATAAACTGAACAGCACTGGTGTGGTATGTTGCACCCGAACTTTCTTTCTCCATGCGATTTCAGTCCGCCCCGTCACAAAGTATCCCTACTACAGCGTCTACCCTCTCGGCAATGGTCCCTCAGTGCTGGCTGCCATGTTGCATAGACTATTAGGTAGATGGTAGGTGGTTCCTCTCACAAGTCGCGTTAATTCTGGGTAACCTCAAGGGGCCCCACACACAAGATCAGCACGCTCGCTGCCTTGCGTCATCTCGCTGTTGTTAGAGCGCTGGTGGCTCGGGATCTCCGTCATCGTCCGGAGCATCACCACCGGCCAGGCCCAGAACCGCTAGACACTCGATGGTTGGATCTACTGGGGGTGGCGGAAACGTGAGTACAATCTGACCGAGGAGGGTGCTGACGGGGCTCCCTCCTCGAACGACAGATGATAGTAAGCTCAAGCGAAATTACGTACGTAAGCAGGGACTTAGTACGAAACGGGAAAACCATGCGATTGGTCCTTATGGTTGTGTCAGCTTGTGGTGGTGAAAAGGTAAGACGGATCACGTTTGTTCGTGACTCCATCAAGAAACGCCAGTGGACACCCATATAAGGAGAATCATCTCTCCACCCACTCTTCCTGAGATGCATACCCCCTTCCGTCATCGTACCTTTCAACCGTGCCGTGACGTATATGCTAATGCGATGTACGTACTGTTCTCGGTGTACACGGCCTAGAGCAACTTGGATGCCTATGTTGCCATACCATTGGCCGCTGTGCCTTTTTATGTGCGTGAGCACCCGCCTTGCACAACACGTCCCTTTGCACGTAGCGTATGGTTCCCTGGAATATCATACTTCTCCCCGGTATAACATGTCGTAGGTCTGGGGAAAAAGCGGTCAGTGTTGGTGGAATGAACCAACCTTCCTCGATGACTCGTCTCCAGGGGGGTCGGACAGCGCTTTCCCGGGGCCACGGGAGGCTGAATCTCGGAGGCGTGAATGGAATGGGGGCGATTCATTCGGATTGCCAGCCATATTGGGACGAGGATAGAGGGGAGGTGAGTGGGTGGATCCGTTGCGACGTACCGATAGTTTCCGGAATATACGCCAACGGTCCAAACTGAAGATAGATGCTGCTACACCACGTTTCCCGCCATTACCACAACCTTGGTTGGACCGTCACCTGTTCTGGGACGAACGTAGAAGGTTGGTCGGGCATTTCGACAGATATGGAAGCCCAAATGTTCATGTCGGGGAGTCGGCTAGCTTTCCAACAGATTTCAGTTAACCCAAGCCACCAAGGAGGCACCGTTCATCCGCGCTGAACATTCAACTGCTGCGCTAACTTTCCAGTTGGTATCGTCCTGCCCCGGACTTGTAATTGCTCGTCATGCCCATAAACGAAAAACGTTTGGAGTGTAGGATACACATGGCGCCTACTCCGCACAAGTGTTCTTACGGGTATTCCATATCTTAGGCTTTCCTAACTGTGCACGACTCCTTGTTCGGCATCAATTTCTATGTCAGGTGGTGTACGGCAAGGGTTGCTTCTTGGGGGTGCCGGTATTGCTGGCCTCGGCGGAGTTGGATGTCGACGGCCTGCCCGGTTGGGATTTGAGTGTATCTTCGCAGCTTCAGAGGCAAGCATGACTCTTCGGCAACACGCCGGGAACAACCAGCAATCATCCCTTCACAGCCACAGTAACAAACCTGTTGGTTTGAAGCGAACTGTGAAACTCGTGGGATTCGACCATGTTGCACTGAGCGTCCGCCTTCTTCGCCAGCTTCTCTGTCGTGATTATTGGGGGATCCCTCAAGTTATTGTTGCAAGCGTTTGGGCATATTGAAGGATATGCCCATACGCATCGCTTGGCACTGCCTTCCCTTTCTTGGTAGCCTCTCACGTTGTTTCGGCTATTGGACTGGAGGGGAATTGCTGCTGGAAGGCTTGCCGCACTTGACATACAGACTACATAATTTTGTTTGCAAGAAACGTTTTCACACTCAGAACGGTAACCTGTCGGGTTTTCGCTTTGGGCTACGATACGTCGCAAGCACCAAGCACCGTGTGCCTTCAATGTAAGAACTCTATTTTCAACGATTTGGTCAACTTGGGCGTGCGTCATATCCCGCTACCGGCGGCTACCCAGAATAGCTTGAATATATATCCACACTGGATGCAAAACTTTAGGGTAGATGAGCGCGTGACCTTGATCACCTTGAGGTGGAAAACAGCTAACTGCAACTAGGTCCTGGCTCTTCCACAACTGTTGAGCCTAACTATCCCCCCCCCCTTTCGAGCTCCCGCTTACAACCGATCGTACACACGCCATCCTGATTTCAAGCGCTGCTTGCATTCCGGTTCTGTGATGATTTCCCTCAGGAAAGTCGAGGGTGCTGAAGATGAAAAACGTGCGCAAACATCATTTACTGCGCTGTCTCCGGTGCAGATCGCAGCTAAAGGAGAAGTGAAGATTGGCCACTTCGACGTCTCTCGGTTCACCAAAACCGTGGGGCCTTTCGATAAGGTAGAGGATGTTTTCTATTAAAGCGTCAAGCCCTGACCATAGCCCTTGAGGATCACTGATAATTCTAGTCTTCGAAAGGACGTGAACACCGGGCGATATTCTAGTGGAGCGGGATGCACCTAACAGAGGGAATGTGTTTCGTGTCGAACGCAGAAAGCACCCAGGCTCACGAATCTCTAGTTTTGGTCATGATACGAATGGTCGCTATGTGGGTTTTAGTGGGGTTCTTAGCCAAGCTCATAAATGGTGCTCAAGTTGTTTGATTTGATTTGGTTGAGGCTACATCAATTTCTGAACTACATGCACCAAGTTGTTAAGTGCGGGCGTTTTCTGCAGTCAATGTGGCCCACTGACTGTCTCCATGCCCGCTGAAGGAATGACGTTGAGGCACATGTATGCTATAAAAACTCTTCACGTATAGTTGTTTCAACCGCAACCTCTGACAGATATCGGCAGATTGGCCGAAGCTAACCGAAAGGTTTGTCTGTACACCCTCAACCGGCCTCTCACTCGGAGTCCATTTTCGAAGGATTTGATTTCAGCGTCATTTCAGTTCGTCGATTGTGACCTATTACGTCCACCGTTTGTATGCTCTCGCTAGCTTTCGGTGTTCGGAGGCAAGGCGTGAGACACGGCCACAAGTGCCAATATTAGACCACCACCGGTAAAGTTAAACGTAACAATACCAGACGATGACGATACTGACACAAGCTCACGACACAGTGCAGGTGCTAGGCGGCGTGGGAGACGGTGGGCGCTTCGCTTCATCCATCAACACATTTCGGGACCGAAGGCCGGTATCAAGGCAATCGCTGGTGGCGAACCCTGGAGTCGACCTGGCGCTTAAGTCCGAGAAGCTGACTGTGCACAGCTTCGAACAGATGGTTAGAATTCAATCGCGCACCTCTTCTCTTCGTAAATGTTTTTGCATCGCCTCCTGTTGTCTGTTCGATGTTAAACGACAAGCGCTCCGCATAGCTTGTCTAAGGGTTCTGGCTAACCAATCCCAGCAGAAACGAGTAAAGCATCATCAACCATCTTCCAAACTAAGATGCTACGACATGGCTACGTTTCAGGGTGTTTTGAGGACAGATGTAGGTTCTCAAAAATTCTCTCCCACTCCTCCTTTACCTCTTTTAGCTTCGACTCTAGGTAGTAAGATTGTGCTAAAAGTCCGTGGTGTTGTGTAATGTATTTACGAACACATCTGCAACGCTTCTCCGTCCCTGTGCTCGCTTGGTGTCTTTCGTTTCCTACCCGTTGATCTTGATTGGTGGGTACACTCGCGCTGTATTTCTTGCTCGATCCACAATGTTGTAGTCGTTGGCAATCTCCCATTCTACGCAGTTCCTTGTACTGACTCCTATGAAGCCAATGTTTTGCGGCAGAACCGATAAAAGCAGTCGATGTGGCGCTGCAATGATAAATACAATTCTGCTGTGTATGCGTGCTATGAAAAATCCAGGAATTCCTGGGGCAGGGGAGCTTCGGCTTCGTTACCGTGGTCCGAAAAAAGCAAGGGGTGATGCACGGGAACTTCTTCGCCCTCAAGTCGCTTAGCAAGCGTGGGGTTGTGGAAGGGGGTCAGGTCCAACACATAAAGGACGAGAAGACTGTGAGTGACCTTCCAGATGATCGTCGCTTGGCCTCCCTGCCATAGTTTGTTGTATGCTCGTTTTGGGTGCTGCACCAAGTTTGAGCTTGATGCATTTATCGGACCGAAATCCATGGCCGAACATCGGGACTTTCTGAAGGATGGAGGGCGTTCCGCCGCAAATGTCGTTTTTTGAAACATGGGGGAGGCAAGGACAGCGTTCGACGTTGGAGACAATACGGCAAGTAGGACGTGAATGGCTTGATTCCGTGTTGTACACAAGATCAAATCTAGGTTTTAGCGCGGAGGGTTTGGTACGCAGATATGACCGCAAGGTACATGGTTCGGGTGAAGGGCCTCGAGAAAGTACTTGTGGGTGAGTACGACCGTTAACCACACCAATCAATTTCGCGTTGCAAGCCAAAAGTAGTGTTTGTCTTGTTGCGACGTGCTCACACCATCCAGATATCGCTCGTGTCTATCCCGTGACCTACAGGTTTTAGAGTTGTTCAATCACCCGTTCGTGTTGAGGTTGTACACCACCTTCCAAGACGCCAACCGAGTTTACTTTTTGACCGAACTACTCATCGGAGGCGAGCTGTGGTCGGTCATCTACGAATCGTCAAGCGGGTTCAGCTCAGGTGTGAGCCAGCTGAATGAGAGAAGACAGAAATGGGATCGCCAATCGATTGAAGCAACACCTCGCAGAGGTATCACGAGCCAAGTCCGAGGTGTTAGACCCCTCGAGCACCGTTCCTTTCAGCTATTGAATATGGCGACAACACCTGCTTCGTTGTTCACATGAGCCAGACTAGCCATCCCTATCAAACGTCCCACCAAGGGCGTCCTAGGATGAGTGGAGGGAATACCGTAAGAGGCGCATCAATCGTTAGAACCGCGTTGTACTTTGCACTGCCGGGGTGACTACAGGGTTGTTGGTGAAGCATTAGAGGATATAAAATACAGCCGATCAGGGTGGAAGGCACGGAAATTTCAACAAGGTTTTTGCTGGTGACCACGGTCTCTTGGTTCGGAACCGCAGGAGTATGCAAGAGAACCGCCCGGCTCTATCGTATCGTCCACGGCAGCACTGCAGACGACTGCAGCAGCGCCAACAAAGATTTATGGCGGTGGCAAGTCGCGAATTGAGCCTCGGCCTTTCTGGTTGTCTTGGTAATGTCTCTGTGACTTAACCTGACCACCCTCATCTATCCGACCGATGAGGTATGTCATCGTGACATTGCCTAAAAAGGGCTTTATTTCGTGCCCCAACGCCATTCCTAACCCTCAGGCTTACCGCCAGACCACGTGATGTTCTACGGTGCGGTGGTCGTAGACGCAGTGGGCTACATGCATAGCAAGGGCATTGCATACAGGGACCTTAAGCCGGAGAACCTGATTGTTGATGACTGCGGTGAGGGGAGCACGCCACCTACCGCTGATTTATCCCAACGGAATTCCCTTTTGATTGCGCCTATGAGCAACTTTCAGGTGGGGACACTCGGCTCCGGTGGTTGCTCAACACTGCTCCGTAGGAAGTTTTTTTTTTTCTCGCATGCGCTACTCAGCCCAAGTGCATCACCAGGAATCGAATTCGGTGCCAATGAGGCTAACGTTTAACCAGATGCTTTGTTTTCCCAAAACGTATGATTGTTTTCCCAAGAACGTATGATCTCGATAATACGTAAAACTATTGCAAGTGGCTTCTGCAGGGTGTTCCTGGCATTCTGGGAAGACGATTCCTATGCTGGTTTCTGTACTTGGCACAGTGTAGGGTGACAAGGAAGATTTTCGAGTGATTGTGCACAGGTAAAAGCCTGTATTCTTGAAATAATTGTAAACTAGAGACACTTGGAGCAGACAATATATTTTACATGGCTCGTGTCTAGATCTTGATGTAAACTTCCCATCCTCAGAGCGTCACCCGCTGCTTGAAAAACGTATTTGATCTATAAAACGTGCAGGATACTTGAGAATAATCGACATGGGCTTCGCCAAGCGCATACCCTTTTTTGTGACGGTCGGAGGGGAGACACAGATGCATCCTCGATCGCATACGATGTGCGGAACGCCTGAGTACCTCGCTCCAGAGTTCATCTTTAACAAGGGACACGATCAGTCGGCGGACCTTTGGGCGTTAGGGGTAAGGATCTCTAGGGTTAGGCTTAGTCGTGTACTTTAATTCATTCCGTTGCTGGTATTGTTGTTTGTGTCGCAGAACGTGGTGATGGGTGTCAAATCTGTCTAGTATCTCCTTTGTGCTGACCCATCCGTGGAAATGCTGTGCCCAGGCCGAAGAACAAGATCGGGGTGAGAACGGGTGGGTGGCTTCCAGGGGGACATGCATGTGCACATGTCCATATGCGTGCCTCGGTTCGCTCGAAAACTGAAAAGGTTCAGCGGAAGCAAAGAGCGCCAAACCTGAACCTAAATTCACCACCGATAATTGCCCATAATTGAATAGACCGTCGCGAGGTTACGACTAGGTAGGTGTGCTTACAGTGTATTAGGTTGCCGTGTACTTCATATGTCCCGTGTTGTGTCAGCGGTTAGCCCTTGCGCGTCTTCGCTGCGAGGAGACTGCCAGCACGTGCAAAACACCCCGGCACCATTCGGAGAAGATGTCGTTGATGTCAACAGTGGGGAAGGGGCTTTGGCGTCCCGGTAGAGAACGGCGTATAGAGCAGGTCACATGAAGTCCGCCGACGTGTCCATAGGCACATCATCAGGGGACATGTCTGTGGGTGCGGGTTCTGTGGGCATGTCAGTGGATGAACGTCCAAGGACAGCATGTAATGGATATTTGGTCGTGTCATGCCCTCGGTACTGTTCCTGTCTGCTGGCCGATCGATCCTCCAGGTGCTAATGTTTGAGCTGGTGGAAGCGCGCACGCCATTCGTCCTACCAGGCTCAGAACAAGACGTAGCGCAGCTCTTCACAAATATCGCGTGTGTGAAGAAGAAGGGAGTTGACTTTCCCGACGATTTCGACGAGAAAGCGGGTGGAGGAGCCGAGTGCCGAGATGTGATCTCGGGGATGTTAGCGTTTGAGCCGGGAGATCGACTGGGGAACCACGCCGACGGGTAAGCAACATTTTGTGTTGTACATATATCTTTGGGATGGAAACGTCCAATATACCCAGCTTGGGCTGCACCCGTGATGAAACAAGGCAGTGATGGACAACGAGGGAGGAGGTCGTTTGATCAGCGAAAAAGAGTCAGTCGCGGTGACTTCAGGCGTCAATTGGACGTGCCACGGATGCCCGACGGTCCTCGTGGATGCGCAGTAGTGTACCGGTGGGCCTCCTGCGTGCCCCTGAAAAGGAACCATGAGATGTGATTTGCTGCCGTGAGAGAGAGTTGTGCCGATGCACGGAAAACATCGAAAGGGTACATAAGCAAAAGTACAAGCAACAGCGCTCCCTCCCTCCTCTCCTTTTCCCACCCCCCCTTTCTTCACCATGGTTCCCAGGATGAACGATGTCAAAATGCACGCCATGTTCGCCGGACTAGACTGGGATAAGTTAGAAGCGAAGTTCATACCGGCTCCTTGGGTGCCAGATGAGCCCGCTCCCTCCCCAGAACCGGAAACTGCTAACGTGAACGACGTATATACAGGGGACCAGGTGGGCAATCACTTAGTTGCTTTGCCCGCTTTCTTTCCCACTGCTGTCCAAGTTTTGATGGTGAAGAAGAACGGTTCAAGGCAAACTGCAGGTTGAACCTTAAACGTCCTGGCCGCGCCTCGTGGCGCCCATACCAACGGTGCACTACACGTACAAGGATCTCGGTCAGAAGTCCATCATCCCGTTCGCCAACCCTCACTCACGCCGGTTTAGATTCCAACTACTTTGCCCCGAATCCCGCATGCCGAGGTCGCCGATGCATGCGACGAGCATTAATAATCCTACGATGCAATTTTTGAGCCATCCCAAACCGTGCTCGCTTGTGTGCAGGAATGGTTTTCGGATTTCTGAGTGCTTGCTGAGCACAGGGCAAGACGCACAGACAGGACATCACGGGTGCGGCTACACCTCTTGCGTGGTCGGGTACAACATATTTCGAGCATACTGCAACACGACACGCCCATAGACATCGGGGTGCGTCGGGAAACAAGGGACACGAGGCAAAAACATTTGCGCGTATGGAATACTCGTCTTCGAGCGTTGTACAGTGCACGCTGCATATAGGAAATCCGGGCAAAGACTACGAGCTTCCGTTGAAGAAGAACGTAATAGGATGGAGTATGACTTTCGCTTCCCTTCAAGCATGTCCAAAGAAGAGGAGGGTCCCTAACCACAAAGCTCGATTGTTTTTTGCCCCTCTTTAGTGTAGATGACATGGATCTCAGAGGCTCGTGTCAAATTTTACGTTTTCCGGTGGTTCAATCAGTCGCGATTTTTTTGTTGGTTGATCTCTTGGCTCTCCAGTATAGAGGAAGCAAGTTTCACACCCAAGTCGATTACGAACGGTATCACGTGTTTCGTAGTACACCCGCACCCGTTGAGACGGTCGAAGCGGCGAGAAGAGTTGTTGAGAGAAGGCATTTTTGCTGCGAATTTCCCCGAATTAATTACTTCGTCGTCAACAGATCTCTGTGGCACGACACAAATGAAGTCAACAGGCCTTGCCTGGCAACGGCCATGTTTTCCGGTGGGAAACAGTTCTTTCTTCCTTCCTTTCTTGTGCCCGACCGCCGATCCTCCCCGTGTATCGTGACGTGTCATGTTGGTACGCCTCTATTATTTGACGCCAAGGTTTGGATGACGGGGTCTCTGAAAGAACCACCATGGCTACTGGCTCTGCTCATTCGTGGTTCGGCTTGAGTTGACACCGATCGGTGCTGTACCGCAGAATAGCGCACCCACACAATCGGCATCATACCATATGCTCTGACGCGCCTGCAGCAAACCGTTTCAGCTCGACTCAGCTGCACCTATCGACGACCCGAACAACGACATCGAGGTGCGATTCTTGTTCTGTGTTGCGTCGGGGAAAGACTATCAATAATCATGTCCAAGACAACGAACCTGGAGCCCGCCATATGCTGCTACAACTACGTAGGTTGGCACCTACTTCGTTGGATGACTCCTCAGCACCTGAGGTGTCTGCGCTGAGAACCGTTCTGTACACTGATGCTAGCCGACGGGGGTCTGACATTCTTGGCTGACACGATGAACCTGTTCTGTATGATGCCATGGGGCACAGTACGCGAAAGAGCGTGGGCGACGGGAGCAGAACATTTCTCCACTACTGTACTTCCAACATCCCGCCGAGGGTGCCGTACAACCTCGGGACGAGAAGCACCTGAAAAACTATGCGACGCTACCCTCCGGCCGTGCGCAACCAATCCACGGACAACCAACCATACCAACCGGAAGTATTCATTCAATTCCTTTGTGGTAATCATAAAACTCAGAAAAGTTCTAAGCCTTGTGCCAGAGTAGGACTCGAGATCATCAGAGAAACCGCCCATTCTCTCCGTAGACTGACCAAGTGAAAATTGCTTGTGACAACGAGGGCCCGCTTATCAGTCCCCGTGTGAGATCACCTTACAGTTTCGTCTCTTGAACGATCAACTAGCTATTGGAGACAAAACAGGAGAAACACAAACGTTACGATACTGTGCAAATCGACGAAAAAGCGTGGTTGCGCCGATCTCGTCCTGCCGCGTCTACCCTGTCATCTCCCTGCTGCTGCCGTTGCGACAGCGATCCCTCGCCGCCATCCCTGCCTGATACAGCCACACCCAACCCGCCACGCCCTACAGGGGATGGGCTGTCTCGCTGGTGGACTGCAGCTACTCCCGCGCCGGCAGGGCCACCACCGGAACTGCTCTTCGTTCTATTTTTCTCTCGGCCTCCACCCATTGCTGATGCCGCTTCTGCAGAGTGCGCACCATGTGACGTTCTAGCCGGCATGGGTGCTAACTTTGTGGGACCCGCTGATCGATAATCACCGCTGGTGCTGCCGCCTCTCTGCGTCGAGTTCGATCGCGGCGAGGCGCCAGAAAATTCGGACATCGCCTTGCTCACCTGCCGCGTGAAGCTGTTGGTTACGCACGCACACCGAATGCAGGGCGCGCGGTGTCAACGTATAGACAGATAGAGATTTACTTCTTGGGGGTTGGGCGTGTTCTTTCGTATCCTAGACTCTTACGGGTTTTTCATTTCCAACATGACATCAATCCCGCTCCTCGCCCGTGCCCTCTCTGGCACACATGAACACCTGCGCGGCACCAACGATGCGCCACTGACAGAAGGTGTGCCATCAATGGCTGGCCATATGAACTACGACGATAAACGACTGAGAAAGATTTACTGTTAAGCATAGTTTCTCAACCGTCATAGTGCACGCGGTTACCCTCGAATATTCGTCGACACAACCCCAGACCAGGGACGTACACTCGAGGGGTGTGACGGAACTGATGCGAGCAGGGCGCGAGGAGAATCAGTGCGAAGCATCGGCAAGATGCATATCACTACAGTAGCTATAGCAGTCGCCTGAATGGGGTGGTGGGAGACCGACGACGTACATACGTGTTTGATTACGTTCGCGAAATGAGAGCGGGGGTACGGTGAAAACAGATTCATTGACAAGGCGTCGTATGATACATAGCTGATACGAGGTGCTACCGGGGCAAAAGCCTCGCGTGGTAAAAGGGCCGGGCATGGCTAACGTGAAGCACAATTACTAGGCATCTGTAGAAAACGTGGTTTGGCCAACACGACGAAAGACGTGGACAAGAACAAGAAAAATATGGTAGGTATGCGTGCTGAACCATCTTGTTTACTCCGGCCCCATGACATTAAGAAACAACACCGCATGTAGCTTGAAGGACGTGAGCCAACACCAACACCATGGGTGGCAGGATCAACGTCGTATCAAACTCCTTGCAAGGTAGAACAAGAGAGCTCTAGTCCGGGTCCACGTATTAGTTGAAACCGAACATGAGTGTCGAAGATGCCCACATGTAGGTAAAAACGCCACGCACACGAACGTACCATGAACGGAGGACTGAAGCCGCCGAGTTGATAGCACCCGAGTGGTGAGACTTCCTCCCTGGACCATGTTCTGCTAGCAGAAGCTTCGCACTGCTCACCTGAGATGCGTTTGTCCCAACGGCATTTGTATGGATATCTACAACATGAGGTTGCGGCTGCACTTCATCTACGCGGGGTTTCGGTGATTTACATGTGCGCTAACGTCGCAAATCGACACTGACTGTTGCCACCGGCTGCTCTCCTTGAGTTTCCTGGGCCAGACGACTTACTTGAGTAAGCTGAATTTTCTCTAGCATGATTGGATTCAGCTTCCTGCAGTATAGTCCGGGCGGGAAAATTGCAGCGTTGGCTGCACGCACGAGACGGAACCCCTCGAGAATATCGAGCATCTTCTTGTGTCCGTTTCGGACGTCATCATGGAAGTACAGGCACGGCTGAATTTTCGCGAGCTCTACCGGCGAGCTCAACGCCACTGCGGCAAAGATTTAGACTAGAGGCGCATCATTACTTGTGTGAGCACAGAAACGTCCCACTCATGTCTTGTATCACCGGTTCATATGTTAATATTCCTGCTCGCTCGTGTCCGTGTTGTCGTTCGGCAACAGCAACATGTGCGAAACGGCATTTTTTTGTGTAAAAACACAGCTTCTGAGGTGCAATACCTAACGCGCCACCACTTAAGAACCTCTTTGTTTGGCCGAGGCTCCTTTCGTTTTTGTCTATGGGGTACCCCCACGGCGACTATTTAGGTTTTAGTGTTTAGGCATCTTGACTCAGCACCTGTTCTTATGGCCAAATTCTCACACGTTGAAGTTTTTCAGGCTAAAGTTCCTAGCGATAACTGCGAAGTGGTACTCAAGTGGTGGCGCGTTCTGTAGGCACAAACCGATCTGATCGACTACACTACGAAATTTCGTTTGTTGCCAAGGGCCACTGTCTCAAGTTCTGGTCACCTTCGATCGGATTTTCCGCATGCCAGCTGCGCCTGGGTGACCCGTCCTCGGTCCGTACCTTGGCATGTCAGTCTCATCGTGTGATATCCTCCGACTGATCCCATCGTCATCGCTCTCCTGAAATGACAGTTGGTTGTGTATATCGTCTACCACGTTAATTTGTGCTGGAATCTGGAAGCCAAGGTGATACCGAGAGTCTGCGTCATTTTGGTAGCCGTTGTCTTATCGTTTATTAAAAAAACCCATGCGTTTTCTGTCAATCCCTGGTGTTGCTCTGACGGTTCATGTGAGGATGCACCATACCGGTAGTAGTACCTGTCTCTGACATAATATATCGTGCTGCAGATCGCTTCGTTCTCTTGTCATCGCTTCGTAACCTTCAAACTGATGTACGTAGTGCCGTTAAATAGCACAACGCCTCTAACGCTTGAGACCTTTTCTTCCGAAGAGACAATAGCTATTAGTAATAGGTATTTCTGAACATTATTGCTTTCGCTGGTGGACACAATGCTATTTATCACATCTTTGCCCTTCTGCTTCCGCCTCCAGCCTCCGTCGCCCCCCTCACCTGACGTCGCCCGAGCCCCGACTCTCACAGACAACGTGCCTCCTTTCTTTGCAGATCAGCACCGGGTATGTATACAGTCTAGGCGACATTGGTCACAAAGAAGGCAATATCAACAATGATACACATTAATGCCCTTGGCACCTGGCCTGGAAGTTCAGCGCCGTCCCCCGCTTCTGGCGGAAGCCGATGCATGGAAATCGAGAAGCTTCCATCGGCCGTTTCTGGGCCCTGCAGAGATGGTACACAGTGATAACGACGTGGAAGCACGGATCAGATCTTTACCTTATTTCCTCTTAAGGTACCTACACCAACACCGGTTCCGCGGGGAACCCGTCTGCGCGCTGATTCCCGTAAACCCATGGCCATGCTGCTACTTGTATCTTATCTCCACAGAGTTGAAGGGAGTTGGGATAATTGTGAATATCGTAGCTTCTATAGCCATGTCTGAGGGGCCTCGGCTCGAGGGTGTACAATTAAATCTTTTGTTGCGTGTTCGTCGGGCATTCACAGAAGATACTTGTAGACAACTTTCGAACACCCAAGCGCGCTGTATGTTCTAGTCCCATTATCGTCATCGTCGCGATCGTGGTTGTGGTTGTGGTTGTTGTTGGTGTTCTCTTCAACATGCAACCTGTTCTTATTCCTCAAATAATGTGCGGCAGCTTCTGAACTGAGGTGAGAACGGTCCTACTAGACTACGACAATAGCAGCAACGATACCACCCGCTCTTGTTGTGGTCAAAAGGTAAGTCTTCAAGAAACAGCAGTTGTTTTCTTGCTGTGACGACATAGATGGGCACATTCGTTGCTCTTTTAAGGCCTCAAACGTTGCTACCTTGTTCTCCTGCGGGGGAGTGAAGGCCGTCGCGAGCGACCAGATCACGTACGCCTTTGCAATATTTTGGGCATACGATTAAAACGACTGTCTCTGCGGAAATTGCAACAGCACACGGGCAGTAGGGAATTCGAGGCCTCCTCAGGTTCACCCGAAGCAACATCGGCAACCACAACAGCAATCTCAAGCACAACACCCTTGGCAACAAGCAACGACGTTGACTCTCGGAAACTCTACCTCGATTCGTTTCCATATTTCTTTTCATTTTTAGTCTCACCCCCGGTGACGGCCCGCCTGGCTGGAGGTAGCGCCCCAGGCAAACATGAAGCAGATGGGCCACTTCCCACCCCACCGAGGTGAGCGCTCCAGACCTCCGTCCGTCCGAAGGAAGGTCGGTATAGGGCTTCGAAGAACTCACAGATCTTCCACAGAGCTCGTCCTCTTCATTCAAGTTGGAATGGGTTCTCGAGACGTTACCGGCAGGTCGGGCGGGATTTCCACCGGCTGTGTTGTGGCCATCGTCATCATTCTTGTCGTCTTCGCCGCCCTTGTCGTTGTTGTTACCCCCCGCCAACCACGAAAGCGTCTCGTCCATTATCATGTCGGTTCCCCCCGTCTCGACCGGTTCCTCGAAAAAGTCGGATGCCCCGCCGGAACCAGAAAACGTGTTCTTCGGAGACCGAGGTGACATGGACGCTGAGTGCTTGAGCAGCGAGTCGGCATAATCGTCGTCCGCCTAAGTTTGGGAATGGGGTCAAGGAGGATGTAGCGTGTGCAATTGTCGCGAAACAATAGTGAAACATATTTTTCAACTGTTCACCGTGATTTGCGGCCAAAGTGAAACAACAGGGAAACTTTGAAAGCACGCGAACTGGGAGAACGGCATAAACTTGATCTTTCCAACCTGAGTCAAGTGTACTAGGAGATGTATATTCTTCTGTTTGTATTCCAAACTCAGGTAACGGTATGCAACCCTTGTACACCGTATCACTGTTTCAGACCTACGCAAACACTGTAGACTGCTTACGGTAGTCTCAACTCAAACTCGCACCACGTTAACAAAAATATCAAGTACTCAGCTAAGCAGAAACTTCCCTTCCCCAGAAAGGCTCGTGTTGTGTGCTACGCTTTCAGGCTGGTCCCCTCAAGAGACCGGGCAAGGGTTCGGGGCGGGGTAATGCTTACCGCTTGTCGTCGAGGGGAAGGAAAGACGTCCTGCAGCGTCGGGCAAAACTGTCCCGCTGAACAAAGCCTGGCGTGCGGCTCTTTTAGGAGTTTTTTTAGCCTCGCAATGCGGATGCCCAGTGCTTGTGTTTGAGTTCCGGTCGCGACCACCGATACATTTGATCCAACCTGCGATGACATGCCATACGCGTTTTACAGCAGCAAAGACATGGCCATAGTCTATGGGTCAATATATGTACAAGCAGCCAACATGACAACCCCTTGTGGGACAATGGGACAACCACCCTGGTACTAACTTTTTGCGCAGCTTGAGATGCAACCAATCATTGCAGGTCAAGCGGAAACGCGAACGTTGACCGTGAAACTTGTTGGTAATCTGCTCGAGGAATCGACAACGAACCGCGGGCTCTTGGTTTTGTGCCAATTGTGGCTGCTGTATTTCAAGGGAGAAACCACTACCAGGTACGTTTAACCACGCGTGCAGGAGATCTGGCTTTCTGCGTGATCACTAAAGATAGAAGCGCGGAGACATACAAAGAGGAAGAGGAGCGCGATGGTTGACTCGAAAATTATGAGCAAGTTAAATGGCTGCAACCACCACACACACCTCGGACATCCTTCTTTCCGAGTCCTCAGGCAAAAGCTCGAAGCTCCCGTCTCCCGTCATTGCCCCCCCTTGCCCTGGTCCTGGTCTCCCCGCCCTCGGTTTCTCTGACACCCCCTGTCGCCCACTACTTGACTCTTGTGCTGGTTTAATCGGCACTTGCACTCGACCCTCGATTCCTCCTAGCCATGACCCTATTGTTCGACCGCTACTATTCTCTTTGGCGCCACTGCTGGCTCTGCGTCTTGGCCCTTGCTTTCGACCACTATCTGTCTCTTTGGCGGTAGTTGTTTCTCTGTTTCTTGCATTTGGGTCGCCCTCCCCTTCTCGTTCGGTCTGTGAGCCCCCAGCTCCGAGGCTGCCGTTTCGCAACATCGTATGCCCCATCTCGTGCATCGTCGAAATGTAGTGGTGGACGAACATCACCTAAGGGGTAGCGTCACGGGCCAACAAGAAAATAAATATGTCGATAAGCGACAGGTTGAGCAACAGAGCGGCCAAATTGCAGGCACGATGCTTTCTCACTTGTAACATGGGCCAGCAAATTGTCGAAGATATTTATCGTCGGCGATCCTTTCCCGTCCTTTTAACTGGACAAACCTGTTCGGGAAGCTCAGACCAAGTTCATACCACACGGCGCGATAACGGCCATGCTGAACCACAGGGCGATAGTGGCATACATGTCAACATCCACCTCGTCACACAGAAGACCAAACCACAGACAGACGCAGAGTTTCAGTCCTGTCGTTTTCCTACCGCGTGAATGTCCGAAGTGCAGCTCACAAACTCGATCGCTTTCTCCAGTGCCTCCATGCAGTCCTCGTAACACAGCGCCACGAGAGCGTGCGCCGCTGTCCTACACACGAACGTCACCGCTTGCTTAGGATCCACCTGGATTGCAACACGAACGGTTGTTCACAAACTCCAAAGGGAAAGCACAACTTTCAGCGCAGGTGGGTTCATCAACATTGGCCCTCGTTGCTACCGCTCGTCTTCCTTGACCAACACCAGGGTTGTGTTTTCGACGGCGATCTCTACGTTTCTTAGAGTGCAGGCGGCCCTGCCTCTCGACATAGGATGCACGAAGAAGACGCACGTCGTACTTTCATATGGCTCACCCGCGCTTGAAGGAGATGGTAGGTCATGACCGGGAGATAGAGTGGGTCCTGCCCATGGCTCATGATATAGTGCTGTGCAACAGCCTGTTGGGTAAAGGGAGCGCGAGGATTTGTATCCAGACTGCTGGGTTCGCTAGCCCTCTCTCTAGGCTTGCAAAACATTCGTAAGGTCTGGCTCGTTGCGACATCCACAAAGAGCGACGTTCCTCTTTGTGTCGTGTTCTACGTCATCCATTTCCTCCATCTTCACAAGAGGCCTCCCCCTCCATTTGCAAAATCATGTCACCGATTCAAATATCCTGTTTCGGTTGGCGACGAGGAAAACGCTACATTTCTCAACCTTAGACCGATCAGACGTACAAGGCTGCAATTTTCCGACACACAGCGTATCTCAAAGATATTGCGACTAGATGGGTAAGACAATAGCCAAGGCCCATTCACGTTAATGCCCGTCAACGTGCTGCTTTGTCAGACATTAACCCTAACCAGAACCCGAACCCTAACCCTAACCCTAACCTAACCCTAAGAACTAGTCCTGGTCCTAACTCTAGTCCAGCTGTGGTTGCATGCCATCTTACCTTGTGCATTCGCTTCCGACTGGAAGCCGGGGTGAGGTTATACAGCACCATGTGCACCATCGAGTTCCGGAACTTGTAGTAGGTATGCCGGGAATACACCACGAACCTCGCCGTGACAAGAGCCTGGCATGTCGTGAGAAAGAAAATTGGGGTCCGGGATGCGTTTTGTGAAACAGCTGACGAAACGGTTTGAGGCAGGCCTGAATAAAGTTACGAGATGGAGGACGTGAAGCACTCTTAGCGCTCTCGGAGTGTAAGCGGGTTTTCAGGGTTAGGAAAAATAGGCGAAGAAGCTTGTTGGACTGAGATGTGAAATAGTCGAGACCGAGCTTTAGGGACAGCGCAGGGTAATTTTTGGTTTGGTCCGATGTTGCCAGAATCTACTTGGACCGAGATCCGCGTGCCGTGCTTACTTGAGGTATGTACGACGACGAGCGTCTCGGCCCCCATCAATCGCTGGGGAACCGCTCCAAAAATATGCCCGGATACCCAACGCAAGTGTCGAAAATAAGGCTCAACAAGAGAGAACTTTCCAATGTGGTTTCAAATCTGCAATAAGTTAGAGCGCCAAGTGACCTGTCTGCGCAAGGCGTACGCAACGTAACACTTGAGGATCGCTCCCTTGCCTGAATGATAAGGTCCAGCTGGGGCCGGATATTTCTCGGGAGGACCGCATGCAGTAGGTCCATCGAGAACTCCAAGCCAGCGACAGACGCGTATCGCACGACCGACTGCCGCGAGAAGAAACATAGGTGACAAGATATGACTATTCGTCAGCACCTTGCGAAGGGTGGCAAGCGGGATCGGTCTGGTTGATTTTTGTCTGTCGAACATCCAATGAAATGTTTGGGGTAGGCTATGCATTACCTCTGCTGCACGTGGCCAATAAACTATGTAATTTTATCTCACAAGTGAAGCACAAACGCCGATATACATGATGGTGCTGAGATACGCACCTGTTCTTCCACCAGAAGTCGCTCAAAACGGCAGACTACGAGGATGCCCATCCGTCCCATCATGGCCTCCTCGGGAGAGCTGACGGCAGAGCCGTTGACAGTTCCGCTGTCCTCGCCGCCACCCCCGGATTCCTGTACCGCTATTCGGCTCATAAAAATCCCCACGCTGTTTTCTTTGATGAACCGCACCACCTCAACGCACCTTCGCAATAAGCAATAGATTGATACCGGTTTCAATGACTATATTCTGTACGCTATTTGCTTGGTGTTTGGGCCATAGGTTGTTGATCCAGTTTCTGGGCCCGTGGTCACAGTCTCAGCTTATTTTCGTGGTTAATCGAGGCTACCAGACAGTAACGAAAGTTTCCCTGTGCTTCCCTGTTGATATGGAGAGGGCGGACAGGTGCGGCGACTGCTGAGGTGCAACTTAAACGGGTTTATTTTCTTCCAATACCGAATTTTTTCATGCATTGCTAGAATCCTCGAGGCAACCCCCATCGGAGGTCAATCAGCCGTAGGAGAGAACAGGGAGTACTACTATTATAGGATGTTCCCCTTCTCGATTTGAATGTCTCAAAGTCAATGGCTGCGATCTGAGCCGCCCCGCTCCTCGACTGCTCCTCGAAGCTGATACTAACGCCGCTTCTCCGCGAGACATGCCGTCAAGTCAGCCAAACCGGTCGTTATTGTAATCATCGCCGTCATTTCGTGGAGTAGTCCCTTCTCAAACACTCAGTTGTCCTTCTCAGGTGTTCTCAGGTGTAGGATACTATTCGCCAATACCACACCGAGCAGTGTGCTGTGAACGCTATACCTGCATGTAGTTGCCGCTCTACTGGCGCCGAAAGTCGACAACACACGCAAACACACGTTGTTGTCTCCGACCGTAACTGCGCAAGCGTCCATGCCACGAGGAACAGCTCTGAAAGCCATCACGCGCAGTCCCATCCCTAACCCAAACGCGTCTGGCGAGGTCAACTCACCAGTAGGGGTTCCCACCGGATAGGCTGTACACTGTGTCGACTAACGGTTCTGTGATACCCGCCCTATCTTGGGGCGCAAGGGTATGTTGAAGCAGTTGGCGTAACTGCGGAGCCACGCAACAATAATCAAGTCGAGCGACGGGGGTTCCTGGATGTTTTCGTGTTTTCCTGGATGAGCTCCTCTCATAATTGTGGAACGGACAAACGATTTTATTTGCAAGAAGCTGAAAGAGGGACAAGAGTGTTACCGACTGCCACCTCCTCAACCGCAAGCACCGCCCCATGCATCTGACGTGGTAGAATTCACTTGTGGACGCTTTTCAACGGCTGCAGTCGTGCTGTTTGATTTTTCCCTCTAGAAGAGGCAAAGAGTGGACATTCACCCGGGGAAGATAAAAGAAACAACAACGCACTTCGCCTGCCTCCACTACGTGTGGCGAACACATGAGTAACGACAGCGAAACGATCATTCTACTAAGGAGCCTGGGGGACATGCTCATTCTCGCTCACCTCTTCCTTGGAAAAGGGGCTAAGAGAGAATTTCGTCGTGATCGGCAGCTGGGTGGCCCGAATGTACTGCTGCATGTGCAAGTGAGTCTCGCCTGCACGTGAAACAGAAGTCATGAACGGAGAAATTAGCTCACAAACAAACAAGAGGCGAAAGGATTTGGCTGCCGATTTGAAAAGTCACTGCTATCATACCAACAACACGACTACTTATCCCACAATAAAAAAAGGCGTGAATTTGACTGTCCTGGTGATTGCCAGAAAACTACACAGTCCCTCTCACCATGATCACCGTGCCACACGAAGTTCGGCCCCTCTGATGCCCGCTCCGCTTTTGCGGTCGGGCTTGTTATCTGACTCTTCTTTTTCGCGTGAAACAGATTTTTCTTCTTCTGGATGTCTTCCTCCACCGGTGTGGCCGTCAGGACCAGCAGCAGCCGCAGAGGGCAGTACAGTAGCTGCGGGTCATAGCAGCGCGCAGTGTTAGAGGAGGCACCTTATCACTGACTAGTCACAGGTGGGAGACAAACAGAAAATCGTTACCCGAGAACCCAAGGTGCTAGTATATGCAAAGCATCCCGCGAAGTCAAAACGTGCTGTCGTAACGTGTTCAGATGTAACTTACGGAGTCCTGCGAAATTGTCGTGCACCTGAATGAGAAGCTTCCAGCTCATCTTATCCATGAGGTGCACGTTGTCCAAAATAAACACGGCGGGCAAGTTCCCTAGCGCGTGTGTAGCCAGCTCCGAGATAACCTTGCATGGGACGCCCGGACAAGGCAAGCATCCATGTAAGGCAAAACAACAGGAAACAAGGACGGTGAAGGCTAGCTAATGAAGTAAATGGGGTATTCGAAGGGCGGTGTTTAATGAAAGAAGTGCTCGGCAATAGCGGATCGACAACATTGTAAAGACTAGGGTATTGAACATTCCGGAAGACACGTTTCGTTGAGTTAATGAGTATCGCGCCGTTCTGCAAATCCGGAGCTGCTGGCCATGAGTTTGTTATGCCTACCCCCGCAGAAAGGAAAGAAATTGAATGGAGACACACAACTCAAGCAGCAGCGATGTACTGTAGGTGACACCCTAGAGCGAGAAACCTCTTTGGGACGAGCTCGCCGCAATACCTGAAAAATTGAAATGTGGAGAACTGCTGACTGCGGTGTGGGTTTCAACCCATGCCTTTTTCACAGCTGTTCGCGACCGCAATAACTAGCGGCTTCACGAGATTCGCCGAAATCAGCGATGGTGACTGAGGCCCATGTTTATGGTTTCCAAATCTTTATCTTCCTTTCTTTGGAAAAATGTTGACTTTTTCGACCTTTTGGGCAGTCTGCCTCCCGAACGAATGCGAATCAGCTGTTCGACCTTTGAAAATAGTCACAGCTTTGGCTGAGATGTCTACAGATCGCCTATTTGTTTCGCCAGGGCCCACGTTTGATTTTTTCAAGATGCACAATTTTCACGCAAGATTTTTCCAACACCAGCTTTTGGACAGATCTTGGCCCAAGATTTGCTCCGAGGTGGTCTTCAGGCCGAATCTTGCACATCTTGAACTGCTGGAAAAAAATCAAACGTGGACCCTCGCAAAACAAATAGGCGGCCTGTATACATCTCAGGCAAAGCTGTGACTATTCTCAAAGGTCGAACAGCTGATTCGCATTCATTCGGAAGGCAGACTGCCCAAAAGGTCGAAAAAGTCAGCATTTGTCCAAAGAAATGAAGATAAAGATTTGGAAACCATAAACATGGGTCTGAAAGATGAAAAAACAATGTTGAGTCGGCCATCACTCTGGCGGAAGACGGGGAGGAACCACAACTACCATGTGCCCGACACGATGATCGCATGGTAAGGAATCAAGGAAGAGCAACTCGAGTAGCCTCAAAACATGACCGATCAAGTACAAGTAACGTTTGTAAGGGCAACAAATCAACCACCGGGTCAGTTGTAGTAAAGCAATCACCGAGTGCACGACGTGAAGTGGCAGTCGTCCCCCAACGCTTGGCCTCCGCACGGCCTGGAGGATCTCGCCCTCGGTCTCTCCGCCCAAGTCCACACCAAGTACCGCCTGGAGGGAAAACACATGTAATGTTTGCGGCTAAAACTGAACGGTACGTTGGTAGACATGCACGCATGTCCTAGCTGCGACGAGTATTTGTAAAAATGGAAGGGGGTTAACGAAGTGTGAGCATGGTCGAACAAAAAACGGCGGGCATGGGGAACAAAGTAACGTACGTGTACCGAGAAGCATACATTAGATTGTGTTTCGTTCCTTGTGCGGAAATCGATCGTGTGAGAAGGAAGTGCCCAAGGGGGCCACGCTCAGCTGGAGTCCTTGAGAACACAAGATTTGAGCCTTTTCCCGCGACACGTGCCCTAGTATGCCCACACTATCTCTTCAACTGAAAGAATGTGTCAGGTATGGGGCATTTCTTGTCGCGTATGGCACCCCTGCTTGGTCCGAGAAGGCTCAATCGAATGATCACAACCCAAAACAAGGACGAACGGTGCTGAGGAGCTCCTCAAGTCGCTCAGAAACGTAGTGCGGCATAGGACATCTGGAGGCATTCCAGAGTTGTCACGCCGAACCCACCTTTAAGGCTCTGATTGCCACATCTGTCGTAGGTTGCTCGGCGCTTCCATACACTTCCCGAACGATCTGCGTGGGTGTGATCCGCGCCGGCAAAATGGGGAATGAGAATATCTAGCTTTCTTAGCGTGGAGATCGACACACACGTCACCTTCAGCACACGTCGGAGCGACACGGTGAACCGAGTACGTCATGCTCTACCTTTGACCAGGGCGTTGCATCGATGACAGGCCATGGTGTACCCTCATGGCGGGATGATCATGCTCCTTTACCTTCAACAGAGCCTGCTTAATTGCAAGCGCATCATCCCCAAGGTGATCAAGCCCGAAAATTGTCCGCAGCATCCCCTTAGCTCCAGCGTAGGGTGTCCCTGACTGCATTTGGACCATCGCATACATATGCACCTGCAAGACCGACAAACAAGCATATGGTGCCTTTGCCTTTGGTATTTTCTTCTCGCGAAGGCTATTCTAACCCTATACTTGATTGGAGTAGCCCGTATGCTAACGCACAGACACATCTCGAAACAGCGACAACTATTGGGACTCGCGCTGCAACCGCACTCAGGACCAGGCTAACCCTTACCCTCAACGTATCCTCAAGCTCGTAACCGTACTGTTCCAGACAGTCAGGACAGACAAATGCCCAGGGGAAGAACTTCGAGGGCGACACATTGTGGGAAACCAAACACTACCACCGCATGACATCTTGGCGCACCTTCCTCCTGAAGAATTGCGAGGCGGACTTCTTCACTCGATCCGCAACCATCGACTGTCGGTAGGTCACATCAGTTGTCCCAGATGTCGTTTTCGGCGGGGCATCCGCGCAAGCAGGTTGTTCGGGGTTCGGGCAAGGAATATTGTAATGTGGACATGCTTGTGAGTAGCTTCTGCAACATCAATTCCGTTGTTTACCGAAAATGCCACAGACTCAAAAGCTGCGCATTGGTACGAGGATTAGGCTGCGCGTGAGTACGTCTTGTATGACGATGTACCCCGTTTGTCCATTGAAGGATGCCGAGGCGCGCACAAACGGTTTCACAACACTTTGGAACGATTGGCGCAAAACTCAAAGTAATTAGCTGAAACGTCAACACAATATCGCGAAGAAACAAAATTCTCCTGGGGATTGTCAGCAGGAACCGGTTGCCTCAGTTTGTTTCAATCTCGTATGGTTGGTTTTCCCAAAGGATAAGGACACCAAGAACAAAATTGGGAAAAACGCTCTCCACAGCGAGTTGCACCTTGGGACGGTGGCGTTTGGGGGTGTCTTTGGACTTCGGAGCGACCACCCCTACCTCCAGAACGCGCACCTTTGTCGCTGCAGGAATATGGCGAAAACATCGTGGTCTGTCGTAGGTACCATCGATCGGTAGTGCTTGATGTTCAACATCATCATCGATGAACAAGACAATCCTTCGTGTTCTCAGCAACGGTACGGGACTTGCCTTTCCTGTCCCGTGTGCCCCTTCGATAACCACTACCGTCGGCTCCGGGTTTGTGATGTTGTCCCCCTTGTCAATGAGGTCCAAGAATGCGTTGACCTGGATTCACAGTCACACTCCACGTCAGTTTCGCTGCGATCAGTCCCAGCAAGGTGGCGCTCCGCTGCTCAGGACCGACATGATGCGATGTACATGATGCGGAAGTGGACGCTACGACGGCGGGTGGTTGTCGCGGATCGTCTACATACCGTAAACTACGGAGTTTTCCGCCCGGGGAGGGGATCGTTTTTTTTCTGAAACCAACCCCCCCGTGGGGGAATTGACGTGCCGCGGGGGTTAGTTTTTTTTCCAACGCTACCCCGGGGGGTTGTGCAAAATAATGATGGTCCACACACCACACACAGAGAGAGTGGCGAAACTGAGATGGATAAGGTGTACGAGCAAGCGTTCAACAAGCAGCAGAAGGAGAAATGTAAGAACAACGAAGGCGAAGAGAAAAAAGACAGCAAGAGGACAGCAGCTGGGGGTGTTTGTGTCGTCCCGCGAGTGACAAACGGTACACCTAAATCTCGCTCGAAGCGCAACTCTGCAAATATATGATTTTGTTTTTTGGTAGAAAATGATCTACCCCGGGGCTAAATCAACGAAACCATGCTTCCAGGCCGAAAAGGTAATGGAGGGGGGGGAAATCTGTACTAGGGGGGGGGAAACTCCGTAGTTTACGGTACGTTCTTGACACATTGCTTGCGATTTTGTGACATCAAACAACGGGACGTGGCAAGTTGTCCTCGGGGGTCTCGCCCAGAACAGACGAGGAGTTCGTTGGTGGTTTGGCATTCCTTCGCAAGACAGAAAGTGGAAGCCGTGTTTACCTACTTATGTGGTTCACCACGAGGTATCATAGAATGAGACTGGGGCGTGCTGCAAGCCTTCAGAATCATTGGAAGGTTTGAAAAAAGTGTTATTGACGAATGGACGAATTTCAGAAGCGCAGTGTTTCTCTCTCGCATGCGTGTCTTAGAGGATTTTGACAGTAGAATGATTTTGTCGACGTCGAGAGATACGCAACGATCGGCAATCTCCAAGAATGATCGTGGTGAAGTGCCAGGTGAATCAAACAAGCAGACACGCGTTCTTACCGAGTTCTGCAGGTTTATTCTTCCAATCATCCTCAGCTGCTTGTGCGTCTCCCACATGTCAGAACCTTGCTGCGCCAGGCACACAAAGGGCGCGATGGGGTGCTCCTTCCCCTTGAGCATCATCGGGTCCAAACGCTTGAACAGGGCAACCATGGTCTCGTTACAGCACACCTGGACATCAAGACCGTGTTGGACGAGAAAGCGGCAGTTTCATGGTCCATCAAATACGCCCACACGATGAGGAAAAAAGTATGAGGACATCAACAATATATCACGAACAGGATCGCCCCCACACCGCCAAAAGCCACCTACTACGTTACACCGAACATGCCTATCAAAAAGACAGAGGCATGCGATATTGAAAGGGATAGGATTGATATGGACCAAGAACAAGCGGCGGTTGGCAGCAATGTGGCACGTACTTCTCGCGGAGATCTATTAGTCTATACGCCATGTTTGCAGCTGGTTGCACCTCGCACGCCACTTTGGGTGTCTCACCAAGTCGTGGGTGACCTCGTCACACACGATGCGGCCCTTTGCTTTGCCCATCAACCTGGCCGCCAAGTTGATAACATCTCCCACCATAGCATACTCTGATCGGATCTTTCCCCCCATACGGCCGCACAAAGCCTTGGGGAAAAACACACAAACAGGACGAAATAGCGAGGACGAAGTAAGGGAAGTGAACAAAAGTGTGTCGCTAGGTTGTTGGATTAGGTGCTCTTGCATGGCTTGTCCTTTCCAAGACCACACTGCGCTCGCTTGCATATTTTACTCCTTTTTGAGGAGGAAAGCGCAGGACGGCAACGTAAGTCTGGTTGGTTGAGGCGCGAACTGTTGTACGGAACTTGAGCCGTGTCTTGGCGGCAACTAAACGTCGGCACAACGTTCTCCCGTATTTTTTCGACGCACGTCGTGTTTGCTATTCCCATACCCTTAAAAATCTCACTCCCTAATGCGTCAACGCCATAAAACCGTAAACACAGACGCCATCTACAAGCTTGGCCAGCCAAGAAGCCAACAAAATGGTTAGAAGCGATTTCCGAGCCGGTTTTTACGAACTAGAACCTGAAATTTTGATACGTGATTGGAAATGGTCTTACAAATGCCCCCGAAAAAGGTGCGTTTTTTTTTTTTTTTGTGAGGTATCCCTATATTCAATAACTGAGAATCCCAATATAGGGGGTTTTTGTGGCTTAAAAAAAACAAAAGAAAACGCACCTCTTTCGGGGGCAGGTGTAAGACCGTTTCCAATCACATATCAAAATTTCAGGTTCTAGTTCGTAAAAACCGGCTCGGAAATCGCGATATCCTCACTTTCCATCAGTATCTTGAGTGTTGTATAGGATATTTTACGAGACCATAACTTTTGATGGAAGATGACCTGAGCCTTGTAACTACCATCATTGTTCTCGCAATGCTCCCAGGTAAGTGCACACCAATTTTCGGCTTAATCTGAAAACCTTTTTTATACTGATTTCAGTACCGGAACCATCACCCACTACACCGCCAATTGAGCATTCAATACCCAAATCAACTCAGATTCGAAAAATTCTGGCACCGGTGCATCCTCTATTGTCTTCGAAGAGTAGCCACAAAATGTCAAGCCTAAACTCGTGGAATTGGCAGCGTGAGACGCGAAACAACGAAAGTGAGCTTCTTGGCTGGCCCAGCTTGTAAAGTTTCTCGGCGCCGGCCGTACCCCATTCCTAGCCCTCAACAAGTTGTGGCAGCTTCTACCGAACTTACGTGGCCCGTCGTTATCCCCATGCTTGTCTTCATGTCCCTGACTTGGAGACTTGCGTGTATCTCCACCGCGGCGGCAAGACATCGGTTGCCGTTGTCGGGATAGCTCCGACCGGGCACTCCCCAGCATGCGATCAGCACACACCCCTTTCGCCCCCCCAACACATGCACCAAGAAGAAAAGCAAATACTTCGTTCATCGAGGAATCAACGAGTTGAACAAGATAATGTCCATGACAAGCTTGACGCCTGTTGTTAAGGCGTGGTCCAATCTTTCAACAAGTCATGAAGGGATGTCATGACGTGGCGTGGGCAAGCAAACGGTGGGGGATGCCTGACGATAGCCGAGCGGGTGAAGAAAAAACCCTACTTATAATAGCACAAGCAGTGATCGCAGTGCCACTCGCGTCCTTCTACAACTGGATCCCCGGCCTTCCGCCGTAGGAACACGACACCGTGGGCGCTTCGAAAAAGTGAGTTCCAATCTAGCTTGAATGGAAGGGATGTTACAATCAGATAGCGCGACACAAGAGCACCCGCGGCAACTGTGATCCGTTGCTGGAACACTGGTCCTGACGGTCATGACAAATACTACAGAACCGTGAATGGGGAAGAGAGACTCCGTCGGGAGAAACCACTCCCTTGCAGGACCAAACCTGGGTTCGTTGGGAGAATCCACTCCCTTACATGACCAAACCTGGGTTGTAGTTGTGTTCAGCGGGACGCCGTCTAAAGTATATGATGCCGTCAGAAAAACTGAATGAAAAACTACCCTGCGTTCCATACACACCGCCTTACTCGAGACACCGCTCTCCTCTTTTCCTTCTCGCTCCCTTCAGCCATCTGCCGCACGGCGATTCCGCAGGGTGACCTGTCTACTAACATATTACCCCGTAGTCCGCCATCGTCCACTTCGTGCATGTCCGTCTCACCTTGTCATCAACGAGGAACTGCCTCAAGAACCCTTCGTGCTCTGCTAGAATCTTCTGGATGGTCGTCAGGTGGATCTATTGGCATCACATTCATGCAGGTTGATGCCGAGGCACGAGTAGAGAGAAAGAGCGATCAAGGGATGATCAGGTCAGAGTGTGTAGACTACTACTGTAGATAATTCCGGGGTTTCCACGATATGTTTCGCAATTCGTGGGGAAAACGATCGCCCATGGGATACGTCGTGTGCAACCCCCGCGCTTAAGCAATACTGGTACTCCATTTTTTCGGGCGGGACTTCTCTCGAGACACCGCGTCCAGGCTGTGCTACTCGGCATAGACATGGCCAGGAGTGCCCTCCCCCGAAGCCTAGGCTCGTTCAGTAAATCGACAACAAGTAACCAGTAGCCGCATTCCCATAACTTTGTCGCATGCCCATTCGTCTCCTTGAAAATATATACTTCGTGCTGGCAAGCGTTTTGGTCAGTCTCTTTCCTCGAGAAGGCGAGCGTTATCGAGATACTCTACCTGAATCTACCGTGCAATCGGCAAAGGATTTCAGGGGACTGCATGAATGTGATTATACCGTTGTAAACATTAGTTGCAAGTGCCACCGGTACATGTAGAGAATTGTGGGCTTCTCATTACTCCGATACGCTTTCTGTGGTACCACGCGCTGTTTTTTAGTCAAAACCCCCATCGACTTGACTCTATTTGAGGGCAAAGCGAAACCCACCTGCAGTGACAAAAGATTCTTGTGCTTCTCCGGGGAGTAGCTGTCGAGCTTCACGAAGAGAGTCGTGACCGTTCGCATCTCCGCCATGTACATGAAGATACCAGCCTGTGAATGCACCGAGAATCGTGAGGGTCAATGTCAGAGTTCGCGTTCGACCGGAATGCCCTCAAGATAACATACTCGCGTCGGGGAAAGGGTATGGGTTGAGGGAAATATCAGGGTTGGATATTTGCCATTCGATAGTCATTCAGCGGCAAGTTAGGTAAGGCCTAAGTCATGGTTAGGGTCGGCAGCAGGGTAGGCTCATGTTTTGATGCCGTCAGCGACTTCATGCATAGAAGCGCATGTCCAGCAGCAAGGGTACGCCTGTCGTAACTGTGAAAAGGGGGGTGAGAAATCCTGCAGCGGTGTATGGCAATAATCCTGTTCTCACATTCCAAACCATTCGCGGCTCTACTTAGTTCTCCGTTCCCTGATCTTCCTTTGTATCGCAGAGCACAACTAACTCGTCAAAATCTCCAAAGCGGGAAATGGAGTCCGCTACACCCGAACAGCAGTGCTACCTTTACCCAGGCGTTACTCAGGAGGCTTTCGAGGTACCTAGACAGCACGTCAGCGACAAAAAGGCTTGAACCACACGCACCCTAAAATCTTGAAGCCCATTCCACCCCATGTGCCCAGACATGTGTCGCAGCTACCGAAGTCTGTCCTTGTTACCAGTCAGTCGAATTCAGCATGCAGCAGTGGACGATGTGACCCCGTTCCCAACGACAGGGACAAGAAAAATCATGTCGTAGACTTGTCGTATTGTAACGTTCGTGGATCTTCATCAACAACAGTGTCGGACATGTATTCCGTATTGGGTAATTGCAGCTCAGTGGCGTCTGGAGGGGGAACCGAATCGTATGAATTGGCAGGCTGGGCGGCTCTCACCAACTCTACCATCAAAACAAGATACCAGGTACTTGAAAGCGTACTTTTTCTCACCGCCAACAAGTCGGTAACGGGGCCTGGCACGAAGCCTTGGAGCACGGGCAACACCGCAGACGAAACCTCGACTCTCATTTTTCCCGCCGCCCCTAGCGCGTGAACTGAGTCATCTCCAAGTATCTTGCTCCCCGCCTTCCTCTCCCTCGCCTTGGCGTTGGAGCTGACCCATGCTGCGTTCGCATCCACAGCCCCCCCGGCCCCTCGCGCTCCCTCCACGTTCTTGCCACCCGCGCTTGCACATTCGCCTACGCTTGTAGCACTCGCGGCCACAGACCCAACCGAACTTGTTGGAGACTGCGGTTGGGGCGATGAGCCTTCAGGTGTTGCCCGTTTTGCCTCCCCTTGTCCTGTCCCTGCCTCTAACCGAGCCGCCGCCGCGGCCGCCGCGGCCGCTGTAGCTGCATCTGCTGCCTCAGGAAACAAGCCTTCCGTGGGCTCTAACTCCACCGGCAGTCCCTTGTTGGCGATCATGTTGGCCATGCGAACGCTTCCCCGCTTTTCCCTCCGCGGTGGCTCCAGGGTGTGGAGAAGGACGTTGCGGGACGGGAGTGGAGTCCCCCGGCAGCAGTCTCCGATGATGGACATGCACTCCACGCTTACGACCACCTTAATTTGTATTATTCGTTTATTAAGGGATCATATTCAATAATCAGTAGTTCCCGTATTGACAGAGAGGAGTGGAAGTATACATATAGCAGGGTACAACATTCAGTCAGCCATTCGGATACTCAACCGACAACCTACTCAAGCGGTGCTTGACACCACAATATACAGGGAAATGGAACTCCCCCACCACCACACTGCTGCTAAGCGGGTCCCACCGTCCACACGAGATAAAGTGGCGTAAGCTCGGAGCGTATACAAATTTTGGTGCGCACGTAGGATCCACGATTTCCAAAAAGTTCGTTCGGCTAGTTGGACAAGACGAAACGGCCACCAACAGGGAACGTTTTGGTGACAGTACACCCTGTGCACACAGTGCCGAGAAGTGTTGGCCTTTGACCCGAGGGGAACGACTGAGGCTGCGAACTCCTAAGAAATGGCACGCTGGACCTGGAAGTCGACCCACGGTTACGAGTTCCTCGTCATTCGTTACCTCCTGCTTCTTGGCTTCGTCTAGAGCTTCTGCCACCAGGCCAATGGGAACCCCGCTCATTAGGCACTCCCAGTAGTTGTCGATGCCTCCCAGAATCCCGAAGCACAGCTCCCCGCACGATATCCCAACATGTAGGGTAAGCCCGTCGGCTGCAACCTTCGGTCGAGGAGTTCCGTTGTTGGGATGTAAGGCGTGTTGTCAATGGCATCACAACCAACACAAACAGGTCACCTTCTCACGAGCACCTCCATACCGGTTGTCCGATGGATTAATGGCCATGGCCTTCGGCTATACCTCTCATTCGTTGCATGAATATGTTCCTTAGAGCAGTATTTGCAGCACTAGCATTGTTGCATGAACATGCTCGTTTTTCCGTCTGTGTGGACCGGTCTTTTCCCGTCAAAAATTCGGCGACGTGGTGGTGATGGACCCGTTTTGCGTCGTTTCGACCTCCCAAAAATCAACCAAAAACCCACCTCCCGAAGCTGCATGCTGCACAAGGCCGCGCACAACACTGCTCCCCTCAGGTCGTGTTCGTCCGGCATAAACACGCAGTACAGCGCGTCCCCCGCGATCTTGATGATGTCACCGCCGAAGGAATAGACAATATTCACCAAGTTCGAATAGTAGCTGTTGATTATCTGTAATAGCACAACGGTGGGCGAGAGAGATGGGGGTGTAAAATGGTCGGAGGAGACGATGGTAGCAGTCAATAACCGTTTGCTCTCCTGTGATGTAAGGCATCTGTTGCAAACGTACCATGGTGAAGGTATGGACCCTCCAAGCAATGAATCGAACGATTTCTAACGGGAGACGAATTTCTCCGGAACAGCACGACGGAACGACTCCAGCCAATAGCTCACATTTATCGTATCTTCACATAGTCCTGATAGGCCGCAACGTTTTATTCTATTCTGGCAAGGGCTCAAAAACAAAAACCTCCAACGGGCCAAGTGAAAAACGACATTTGTTCACTTCGTATGCTAGAGCAATCGTCAACTGCGACTCAGGTGTCAAGTCTCCCCTGTTTGGCCGCGCTCCGAAGAACGCGAAAAAAACAACCAAGTCCGGATTGCATGTAGGTCCAACTCGTCTGCATTCCTGTAGTTTTTGAAAAAATCCTATTGCTAACGATTGCACTCGCGGTGCCGTGTCGAATCCGCTTCTACTGCCTTTTGTCCTTCACCCATCGTCAACAAAAGAATGCGAGTTCCCGTGAGAACATACCTGAGGGACTCATTCCAAAAGTTGGAAACTATCGTTGTTGCCCAAGCACAAGCTGCTCGGCATAGCCCTTTATCCATCATACATTGAACACCACCAGGAGGGGCGCGTGGTGTCGACAAGTTTGTGCCTCCAAAGGGGACAATATGCGGTCCTGTGGCTCTGAAAGGGGCCGTGTCTACGTCGTGTCCTTGCCTGCACCAGGGTGTCCAATCCCGCCGTGCCCTTTTTGCAGTGCTTCTCCGAAAGAGCGGTGAAGCCGGAAATGTCCGCGCACATGCACGCCGCCTTGACAAAGAACGCCTGAGACTCGAGTGGTTTGGAGGCGTTTTCCAAGTACTAGGAAAACAAATAGCAACGCGATACGCAGGACCAAGGGGTGACAGATTTGCGGGGCGTACCTAAGGATTCAACACCTTCGACGCACGTACGACTCGAGAAAAAACGAATGGTTTCTGAAGCGGTACTTGCGGCAGTTGGGGGGGGGGAGACGTACAGCGTAGACAGGAGTATCGAACGTCAACCGCACTGACAGATACCTGGCAGTGGGACGAAGGTTTGGGGATCGAGACGAGCGTACGAGAAGCGGGGCACAGGCGACACAACAATCATGGACCGAGAAACGGAGATAGTCTAATGAGTGCCAGAGGGTTCCTTTCTACAGGGACCGGGGCGATCCTCGACCTTCAACCACTTGAATGCTGTCGACCTACATCTTGTTCCTTTCTGTGCTGTAAACCACAGATATCTCAGCGGCGTAGGTGGGCGTGTCTATATACACCAGATCATTTTCGATGTTAGCACGGCCTACGACCATACCCCAGATCGTTTGCTGAGTGCTTCGCGCATGCGACGCGACTTGTGGCACGCAACACGCGACTTTAGCACCTCACACCCCGTCCCCCAGACCCATGATTTCGTCGTTGTTCGAACGCAACCATCGCCGAACTCACGTTGATGAGGATATCTGGTACGAATACCCTGAGCAGATCGACGTGCATCGCGGCGGTGTTCCGTCGGTAGTCGCGCAGGGTTGCAGCGGTTGCGACCGCCACCGCAGCGCCTCTCAGCGAGATTCCACGGGTCCTCAATTGGCCGTCCTTGCTGTCTTTTGCCGCGTTTACCGACCGCCGCCCGTTGGGTGAAGGCTGATTGGCTGAAGGATCCGCACCCAGGTCACCTCGGAGGTTCAGCGGTGGCAGTGCCCCAGCGTGATTGGCGGGATGTCTGACCGGTTCGCTCGATCCTACAACCGAACCGTCATTGTCCGATGCTGTTGAACGCTTCCTCGGTGAACCTGAGCTCATCCGTGGCGACATGGTCCAAAATTCTCTATGCCCTGCGGGAACAGCGGACTTCGAGTTCTGTTCATGAACATGGCGCATGGCGGGGGCAGAAATGCCCCCGTTCAGCAATGCGATATTTGGCGTGCCCCCCCCGCCTTGCCCATTGCCTTCAGGCTCGACCGGTGGATCTTCAGCTTCAGGGTTAGTGTCCTCATGTTTTGAGGTAGCCTCCTCCATGTGGAGAAGGCCAGGGAGTGCACGTGAGCCTTGCCTTGATTACAACCCTCAAAGTGGTCGTCCCAACTCATTCGCGCGATCACATGGGAGTCTTCATCTGTGTCAAGATGTTTCACCTTCGCAGCATGGCACGGACAGAGGGTACAAAACAAAAAACACCCAGGGCGTGGTAGATATGGCGCCTTCACGTCAGGAAACATTCTTCCGGCCCGACACGAGATACTTTTTTCCTTCATAGGCTGAAAGGGCTTACACAACCCGATGGCGCACACGACACTATACATGCAGGTGTAGGGCTCCTCAGTCCGGCGGTCCGACACGCGTGCCACTCAATGTGCTACTCAACATGCGGAGTCAGCTTGCACAACTTTGAGGCTCAATGTGATTACCTCCAAGACCAACGCCACAAGACCAAGGCCAGACTTGGTGCTCAGGAAGGAAGGTCGGTTTTTGAACGCAAGTGACGTTTCGCGAGCAAACAAAAATGAACAAAGACCCAAGCGCATATGCGTGCACAGCTGCAACTCTATCTGCACGGGTCCCCGAGAAAACTCTCTAATCCCTTTGTTTCGACCAACCAGGCAACATTCAGCCCTCTATCCTTGTTCACCAGACTGTTGCTGCTAAATAGATAGACTACATGGCTCACGAGGGCGTAGAAAAACGAACAACCCGATGCCCAAATCTACAGGATTCCCCGCCGCTAACTGTCTGCCTCATGTTCACAAGAACGTGTATCGTCGTTGTGGGTGCTCCCGAGAGCTGCCTATTTCGAGCCGCCTGTTTCATGGGCCTTGGTTGCCTGTCAAGATCTGCGGTGGTGCTCTGCAATTATGTCTCTCTCCTCTCTCCGGTTGGGTAACTATTTTTCTGAAAGCAGGAGGTGGTCGAAACAGACCTTTAAGGATGGCTCTATCTCGAGGAAAAACTCGGGGCGGGAAATTAACCCATTCAAGATGTCACTGCTACATATTAAGGTCCCCCAGAATAGGGGTTTTGACGCTGGCTCTTTTCTCATACTTTAATCCAACATAAGAAAGAAAACAACCTTCCCGCAGGAGGCACCTGGTAATTAGTACTGTTATCAGTAGAGGACACCATGAAGAGGCGTCGTGCGTGCTGGCACGTTCAGGTTTGCTACTGGAGCTGAAATATCGAAGGTCGCAGCAACCTCTGAAAACAGTCCGAAATCTGCGCCGGAAGCAAGCGGCATCCAACATTTGTCACAGCCGTGCACACCGCCACGGACCGTAAACCCCTCAACGGAGGGTTGTCCGCAGTAGCTCGAAGCATGAGCTACTGCTGTAAACGCACAGTTCAGGAGGTTGGGGGTGAGCACGGCGGTGACAAATGTTGGATGCCGCTTGGTTCCGGCGCAGATTTCGGACTGTTTTCAGAGACTGCCGGAACTTTCGATATTTCTGCTCCAGTAGCAAACCTGAACGTGCCAGCACGCACGAAGCCTCTTCATGGTGTCCTCTACTGGTAACAGTACCACCAGGTACATGTCAACACAGACCTTGTTTGAACGCCTGCCGTTTTGGCTCTTTTGACTTGAAATTACAAAAGGGGGAATTTTGGTTTTGATTTCAAAGGGGGTGTGCAGAGGTAGACGCGTGAAACGTATGTTTGTAGCAACCTCTACTGTCGCCCTGTGCGGGATTCAACGATTTCTGTTTTTTGCGATGCCTTCCGACTGGTCTTGTGTGTCTGTTGTACAGTTTCTGGTGCTCTTGCGTATGTTTTCAAAATTAGTCAACATTGAACTTGCTGTTCTGGGGGCCCTTGAACATGAGGAACGCGTCAGCAGCCACTAGCATAATGAGCGGTTGTATTGCTGTAGTTGTATGCACAGCAGAACTGCTGTAGGGTACAATTTGTGTAGGACTGCTGTACAAGTACATCCTCCATGTTTACAGTATAGACTTAAATGCATCGGGCTGAAAGCAGTGACACTGTATTACCTCATTAGCACATTGCACAGTTTCGACCGATAGCTTACTACGGGTACTGTTGCAAACACCGCTACACTCCTCCGGGGCGTTCGCGGATGATTCAATGAAGGGTGGCTGGAAGTGTACAGCACTGCTGCTGCTGCATGCATACAACATCATATTTTTGTGCTCTGCGCTAAAAGCTCCTAGTCCTGCTTTGGCCAAGACATTCTCGTAGGTGAGGCTGCATTGAGCGTTGCGCCCCAGCTTACAGCAGCAGGGTAAAACAAATGAAGCCAGCAACGAAGCACACCGTTGCTCGTGTACTCACCCCTTGTGTGCCACGTCCGAGCCAGTCGCAGCAGCAGTGCACAGCTTTTTCTGCTGACCTTGGTCAACCACAGCTATTGCTACTGTATAGCAGTGGGTCGCGTCCGCGCGTTAAAAGCCACTTTCGGCTGGTGCAACCCGTCTATGGTGCGCTAGATGTGATCCTCCTTGGGGTCGCCAACTACCAAGATGAACAAAACAGCAGCTCAAGAGGTGTGCTTCCCGTCTATGCTGAGAGGAGAGAGGCCGGAGGGGGAGTATCGTCTGAAACCGCGTGCTCGAAGCGGTAAAAATTATGCCGCATTCGGAGGGTAGACGAAGACAAGGCACGTGTTTGTGTGTGGAAGGTGTAGACACCTGCTGAGCCCAGCATGGCTGTCGGTGGCGGTGCTACAGAAAGCGGCGACGGGGAAGCGGGCGGCCCCGTTGATGCCGAGAGCCAACTGCTGGAGACGGAGCTCAATGAGGCGGAGTTCACACTGCTTGGGGAAGTGCAGCAGATCGAACATCTCGCGCAAGAGAACAGCAACAAGGCAAGGTTGCCCTACCGCGAGACCATGAGCGTATGTGCAGGGTAGAAAGAAGGAAGTTTGCGCCTGCATGGCTGTTCTGCTGAGTTCGGTTTGATGCAGGCGTGGGTATCAACTTCACTGAGCGGAACAATAATACGTCAAGGAGACCTTCTTTGATGCCACTGGCACCAAGCCATTGCCTTTAAAATTAACGCCCGCAGAGAAGTACTGCCGGCCAATCCCATTCCTCAAAAGGCACTCGAGGGTATATTGCAATGCAGTTCTTGTGGAGGTGTTGTTATATAAGTGAGCACAAAAGAGCGTGACAAAGCAACGTAGCCCTTGTGATCGTTCACCAGCGGCGTAAACAGCTGGGTTGCCCACCCTCCAGAGTTGGCCTCGAACAAAACAAAAAATGCCGCAATAATACTACAGCAGTACAGCAGCTGTACTGGTGTGCGCTAAATGCTTCGAACGTTTTATGTACAGCGTAGCGTAGATGCCGTTATGATGCGCAAAATACTAGATCGGGAGGTGGAATAGTTATCGGTTAGGGTTGGCGTTTGGGCCCTCATCCCATGCGTCCGATGAACGCGTCCCATTGGCGCCCCGCCGGGCCGTCCAACGCTTGCCCACTGGCGGGGGGAGGCGACTGCTATGCCCGTCCCATGTGGGATGCACTTGGGGCGCGTGGGACGCCTGGGATGTCCCATGGGCGTCCGATGTGTCATATGTCCCCATGTGAAGTACCAAGATGGCAAGTACCCCCAAGGATCATTCCACAAATACTTCAAAAAGAAACGCTGAACAATTTCGAATTGCAACGCATGTGGAGGTCGGGATATGGAGATTCAGGAGCACAGATACACGTACACAAAGAGTAGGATCTGAGGGAATGTGTGATAATAGATTACAGTTCCCCGAGGGTCCATGACTCTTGCGATTCCCAACGGCTGCGAAGAGTTGATTAATCTTTTGGAGGATGGGAAAATGAGTCCACGAAGGTACGCCCACCCTCCGCACCACCCTATCTTGACTGAGTTCGGTCGGTCATGCTTGGCATTCCTCGCCACATCGCACCAAAGGAAATAACCAACCTCCGGTGCCAGGACATAGCCACCACACTCCCGGACTCTCCGCTCACACAGAGTAGAGGGCTCCATACGCAGGTTGAATCTAAACAAACGGAGGCAAGGAATTGTTGTCTGTTCAAAAACGCGAGTCTTGACGTGGCAGCCGTTGTTTGCCATATTCCATCCCCGTCCTTTCTTCTGCACGGATGTGACAATGCCGTTGCTACTTCAGCTTGAGGAGCTCCGTGGGCTGAAAGAAGACGTCAATACGCTGCAGGAAAAGAACGAGTACCACATCTCTATGCTGCAGGATGAACACGCGTGAGTGCCGCGACCGGCCAACTACATGTCTCTTGCCCGCAGCGTATGGAGGACCACCAACATTTTTTCTTGTGCTCACGCACCGTTGCCAACGGTCTGTTTTCTTCTCGGCATCCGAGTTCATTTTGTTCGAATTGTGAGCGGCGGTTGATTGTTGAATTCAGAGTGACGAAAGCAGAATGCTGGACAACGATGTTGAGTGCAGTAGATTAGGCCTTGAGCATCGATTGTCGGTGCTCCAATTCTGAAACCTCTTCACGACACTCCCGTTTCGGATGCAACAGGTCGGTTCAACAAGAGCTATCGCATAAAATGGCCGTTCTCCGAGAACAAGCGACACAGCTGGGCCTGAAGCACGAACGCTACAAGACAGCGGCACGCCTGAACGAAGAGATCAGTGCGGAGGTGGAAGCCTTGCTGCGAAAAATGGAACAGAGAACCAAGGTTACACTTTGTTTGCAGAGGAACGCTGCCTCTTTGTCTGCGCTGCTGCGCTCATAGCCTTGGTTATCTCTCCCTTTGTGCCACCCTGCCCCCGCTCGCAGCAGCAATATCGATATTTGTGTATGCGTGAATCCCAGACTTGCAGGCACTAGGTATCGAAACATAAATTTTACGAGGATTTTGCTGGTATGACCCAAAGTGGTGCTTCCGCAAGCTGGATGAAAATTCCTTAATCGCTCACACAGAAGACCACAAAACGAAGATGATATATCGACCAAGATTTACCTCAATGTGCTCTATGTTGGGGGGAGCCGTCAAGGAGGTACAGTCTGAGCTGTAGGAAACACTACCGACCTGAATCTGAAAACATCACCTGCCCACACTTGAGGCGTTCGCACTTTGCGCAAGGTTCACAGCATTCCTCTGCTGGGTGATCACCAGTGACCAGGGGCTACATTGGTTAAGTGAGGGAGGTATCTCAGAACGTCGAAAGTTCTTGGCGCTTTAACATCTTCGAGGCTTGATAGAACCAGTTCGATTGTTTGCTAACCGACTAACCGATGTTCCTCTTTTGGCGGAACTCTGCAGACACACGGGGAAGAAGTACACGCCATTCGGCAGGAGGTACTGCACTTGAGACAGCAACTAGAGTCAACTTTCAGGAAGACCCTCAAGGATCTAGGGGGCACCTATCGACGCAAGGTGACAAACTCTCCAAGCCCTCCTGGCGTAGATCCGAGATCTGTCACTCCAAAGGAGAATATCGCGAAGGCTCCCTGGTAGTGGTTTTGTACCTCTCTTGTGGCAGTTTCTCAATACCTCACTTATGGGAGAGAACAATCGAACTGGGGTGGCGTTGGTTCGCAACAACTCGAGAGCCTCTGCTAACTTGCTATCCGCCGGTACTTGGTATTGGTTGCCATTCTTGGGATGGGGCGGCCCAAAGTTCCGCGGCGTGGTTGAGGAACACACGACTAAGCACGTTTTTGCCTCCGACGTGAAGCGAGATGACTGTGGCGGGTAGTCACAACACCGCTCAAGCCAAAACTCCGCCCAAAATTGGGCCTCGCGTGCGAGGGAGGGCGACGTGCAGCGTCGGATGTAACCGGCTGTCGTAGCAGGCAGGTAGCGAGATTCACCCCCTGTGATGGTGTTCTTGTGATTTTGAAACAAAGCGCAATCGTAGGTCAAAAGCTGCCGATTCAGGTATCTAGTCTGGATATCGATACCGTGAAACATGGACAAATACGGCAATATTGGGTCTAAATTGGGTTTAGAAGACAACGGAAACTCCGATAACACCTGGCACTCCAAAACCAGTCTATCGCCTATCTCGGAGATGGTTTGAATTCGAGTCCTTGCGTGCAGCCCTCTGACTTCTACGTCAAGTGACGTTGCCGTTTTGGCGAACCCTCTGGACGCACGCAATTTGTGTTGGAAGCAAGTGCCAGAGGGGGCTACAGAGTACTTGAGGAGAGTGAGAATTTAGGCTTCTACATGGTACTATTCGCGGATGTTGTACTCAGGGGATCCCTGTGTCATTCATTGCACCCACCTCGCCTCCATGCTTTGGTGGCTTGTTATTCTGAGAATACTTCCAAATTCAAACATTATGGGAGCGACGTCGAACATTTTCGGGTGGAACAACCGTACCACTTCGTATTCGAGATAGGCCTTCGAAGCTCTGGCGAGTGAAGAAAAGACGGACATGCGGGCGAACAAGCTTTTGAGGGAGGAGATGGCTCTGCAAGAACTAGGTATGTACGAAGGAAGAGGGAAATATCGCGTGTTCCTAGCCCCGCCCCAAGAATTGTGAGTCATGTGTGTGCTTGTCTCGTGTTGCCACCATTTGTTTGTTACCTGCATGTCCACCTGCGGCATATTTGACCGCAAGGAATGAGCTTGCCCCGATCGCTGGTCTCTGGTATGCCTTGGTTTTTGTTTGTCCTTGTCGCACATCCGCCCAGGTACTTGTTGGTCCATCGGCAGTGGTAGCGTTGTGGGGGCCGTGCGTGTTGCCTGATCGCCCCCCCGCATTAAGATGGGTGATGGTTCATAGCCTGGCTAATGATGAAGCAATATCTTCGTCTATACTAGGGACCCGTGGAGGCAACATCTTGGACAGGGAATGCCACCGTGCCATCATGTGCATGGTAATTTGTAATTTCCTTTTTTTTCGGTTTGCAGTACGTCGCTCTTCTAGCTTGTAGCCCTCCTCTGTCGTCCAGTGTGTGAAGAGGGGCAGGCCTCCTCGACAAAACAAAACGATGATCGACGCTGCCCGGCAAGATGAGTGCAAGGTTTGATTGTTCGGGATACTTAATTTGTAGGGGACTCCACCACTAGTCCAAGCAATGCGGTCTACTTTACACGGAGGGGGCGTTCCGTCTCCCTTTGCTCTTGTTGGTCTAGTCCTTGAGTTTCTTCGTGAATGTTTGCATTTTCTTTTGCTTGTAAGTGTTCTGGGTAAGCTTAGGACCACGAAAAAGCATATACTTGGTTCATAGAGCACATAAGAAGGCTTACGGTAGAGAGATCTGAGCGACACTTAGTGTGGCGACACCAACAACACCCCGTCGTCCATCTGCAACAACGCTGAAAATCTAAGCTCATGAGTCCCATCTGAAATGATAGGTTTGTCGGCGCTGGGTGACAGACATACCGAGGAAATCAGAACGGCGGGAGAGTGTAAGGGGGAGCTACAACGGCTTAGGAATTCCAAAAACGGCCATCAGACAATCCTGGCCAGCCTTCAGAGGGAGCTTAGAGCAAACGCCAGTAGTTTCACCGACATTAAGGTAGATGCACTCCGCTGTGAAATACAGCAATTATGTCGCAGCACACGAGGAAGTTGTGTTTCCGCTTGTCCGTTTGTGTCGCTATTGGGCTATCCCCTACGCTTGGGTCATTGTACCAAAGAGTGGAGTTTCTGGTGGGTCTTACTGAGGGTTAGGGTTAAGGTTGGGTTAGGGTTTGCTGTGCCGCGCGAGAAGAAAAACAACACACACATGCTCATACTTCGAGCACGCATGCCATAGCGAAATTGAGCACGTTCATGATACGAGTGTTTCAGTTCGCTACGATCATCCACCTACACTTCCAGCTCATAGCCGTCACCGCGTGCTCCAACGCAAATTCCAGTTTCATGAACTAGTATGCTCATGTTCCACACACCTTTCACGCGGGAGTCCTCGAAAGAACGTGGCGCAGAATAACCAGCATGAACTTGCGCTGTCTCCACGCACCTTGCCCCGCACACTCATTCTGACATGAACCTGTTCCAGGAAACGAAATCGAGAATTGCTGCAGCTGAGCAGGCCTTGAAGATAGAGCTGGAGAAGCAAGGTGTACCGGTACGTCAACACCTGAGGGAATACATATTACGTCCAAACATTGGCAACGATAACAGTAATAGTCTACATGCCTATCCAACGGCAAGCGGTCACGCTAACGCGACAAAATCCAACATTTGTAAAGAGGGAACGCATGCCTGAGTTCATTCAGGGCACGTGAAAATATCTGGCAGGCGCGTCATCATCATGTATAAGCGTGCATCATAGTACAACACTATAGAACACATTCACCAAAGCGTATAAAAACGTGGAGCACGCGTTCACACCAGCACCTCCATTCTTCTACTGTAAAGTTTAAGTTTTATACGTTTTGCTCCTACAACAAGAGTCCGTGAGATGTGAAGGGTTCGGCAACAGCTGGTTTGGACACAACAGCAGCATTCGAATGATAGGCGCAAGACGGTTAGCTGCTTCTTCTGCTGACGGTACTATTGCTGCTGTGAGCAAACGCATACACCCAAGAAGGAATGTGGGGGGTCAGGGAGGAGATACCTCGGGTGTGATCCTGGTCCCCCCAGAGCAGCTCAAGGAGAGACACTACATGAAGGCAACAAGCGTGACACAGCTGTAGACTCTCCATTTGATATTTAGTATACTTTCCGAATAATGTCCACCACTCACGTCTTGGTTCGAAACGAGATGATGATGGCATTCCTCTGCAGCTTATGGGACAACGCTTCTGCAACGACTCCAATCTGAGTTTTCGGTTGTCTATGGCGTCATCCAGAGTGTCGGCCTGAGCGAGATTCGAGAGATGACATCGAAGGAGCGGGAAGAGGGTCGAAGACTTAATAGTCTCAAGCGTGAGTGGGTGCATCGATGTCCTGGGCCTAGCATCTTGGTCCCACGGTAGATGTACAAGCCGTACCTCTAAATTGGCGAACGCGCGCATTGCCTGTGACTTAATGGGATAAACGATGGGTGATGGGTCCATAGGCAAGGACGTTTGAAATGTTCTTCATGCGGGGTTTGTACTGATGAACTGTTGAGATGAACTGATGTCTACCAGCCAGTGCAACATGCTGACGGGAGCTGTCAACCACGTTTCCCTAAAACCCTGACCCTACCTTCATGTACTCAGCTAGTGCTAACGTCTCGATGTCAGCAGTACCCTTTTAAGCCACCACTCGTCTATATTTTCGGCGACCGTACAAGTTTTCGTTTTTCATGTCATGCTGGGTGAGGGTGTTCACCTACCTACTGTATAGAGACCATTGCCGAACCCTAAGGATTATGATTTGTTACTCGCGGTACCGACGTTCCGGTTCCCAAGTCCGGTGGCAGAGGCGCTCCGAGGAGGTTATGCGGGCGATTTGTCCGTCGAGGTCCGAGCCCAAGTTACCAACGGCTTCAGTGCTTTCAGTGCCCTTATCATCGGGGTCACAATCAGAAAGCACTGCCGGAAGCTTCGGCAGCACGTCCCAGGCTTGGTCAACAAGTATGGAATCGACATCGACATCGACATCGACAGCGCTGCAGGACCCCTTTCACGTACCTTTTGAACGCCATAGAACGCTGCTGGGGTCGAAGTCCGCCCCTCCTGGTTTGGAAATGTTCTTGATCCGTGACAACGCTAATATTTCAGGACTGCCGCACAGACAGGTGAGGACGTGGTTTGGCACTTCGGTCTATTCCTGCCGATTTAATTTCTTGCATCAACCAATTCCGTGTGTTCGTGCAGAATGCATGTTCCTTCCTCACATTGTGTACATATGTTGATCGTCCGCATTCCATTGCATGCCTGTTCAAGTTGTACCTGATGGGACAAACTGTAGACATCGATTGTTGACTGCTGCTGCGGGTGCTGAACAGGGGGCGGGAGCAGCCTGGCAGGCCAGAGTTAGCCGAATCACAGAGCGGTGGAATAAGATGGACTCTCGTGGATTAGATCAAAACCTCCTGCACCGGGAGGGCAAGCCAGGGTGAGTGTCGCCAGTACCGTTGACAGCACCGCGGCCTTCTTTACCGAGAGCCCTTTGTCCCCTCTCCGACTCAATTCGTGTTTGGACGACATAGTGTGAACTGTAAGTGGAGATGAAAATGCTCGACAGAATGAAGGCGTGGATTAGATAGAAGTGTCTTGCGACCTGCATGGTTCAACAGCGGTCAGAAGATGCTGGGGTTTCGAACTTGTTCACAGTGTTGGATGATAGCCTTCGATCCCCACGGTTGAAGCCCGCCACCGAACAACATCGACTACTGTAGTCTACACCCTATTTTTATTAGGTCCCCACCAAACAAAAAATCTCTCCCAACGTACAGCCAGGACCCACTCCCTGGAGGCTAGGTCCACAGGTATGTAGGTAGTAAGTACCATCCGCGGGATATGCGTCTGGAGAAAATTATGACGGCGTTCTTACTCATCACCAGTCCTGTAGTGGTATGGGTTGACTTCAGGAGGTTGTTCATTACAGTTTCAGCCACAGGTCGCCTAGGCTACCGCCTCGGGAGAGATCGTGCTTCTCGTCGAAGTGTACTGTAGTCTAATGGTGATAGTTCTGGAAGTAGACCGGTATTGCCATTTATCGCAGGCGAAGGTTGCCGCATTAGTATTGTTTTCTTGCTCCGCGAGACACTCCAGGCCTAGAGTGTGCGGTGACCGTCCCTTTAAGGATGGCGCGATCACGGTAGTATTGTGTTGCCACGATAGTAATATTTTCGCAATGTACATAGACGATGTATCCCGTGCCCATAAACCCTGTACTTCTTTCATGTGTCACATTCGACACCCACCCGCTCGCCACGCTGTCCAGAGTTTCGAAACGCGTTTGACTGTGACGTGTGGGTTCGCTGCTACCTGTCGCTGTTGATGTCACGATTTTCTCGATTTTCAAGGTCAGCGGCGGCACTTGCGCTTGCTGAGGAAATCTTGCCGGGTCGACGTCAGAGCGCGCAAATCGAAGGGACCCTATCGGCGTCCTTGTGAGAATCCCCCCCCCCGCACGCCTTCGACGTTATCTCGCAATAACTTTCAAGAGCAGCTGCGTACGACCCAGAAAGCCTCATGTCGCGCTGGTAGGGGATTTGAGATGGCACCTGTAGTAGCCAAAAGAGGCCCACAGTAGTCCACACAGAGCAGAACTGTGTATTCGACAACATTTTTGAGCTCAAACCCTAGCGAGATTGGAACGGGGGGTGGCAAGTTTGAGTCTCAATTGAGACACAACGGTTCCAGTGCGATAATGAGCGGAATCACAACCGAAAACTTAGTTGAGGCAGCACCACGGACGTGCAGAACTCCCAACCCCACCAGACGCTTCCATTGATGAAGCCTAACAGAGTACGGAGTACTTCGTGACCCATTCGGAGGGCCGAGCCGTTTCGAATATCTTGTGCTCTACCCCCCTGTCATGTACCCCTAGTTGATAGAGTTATGATATGCGAAGTGCAAACTCTGGAAACGCGCCGACTCCTTCCCGCTGAACGACCGCGTATGCATTCGAGCGTTGTGAAATTGGATTGTGGATGCCTTCACCGTATGCCGGCGAACCGGTCCTTGCAGGTCAGCGCCCAAGAGTGCTCTATCGCCATTGCAATCGCCATCACGACTAAAGATCCACGGTGGTGGCAACAGTCCAAATAGCTCTCTTGAGAAGCCCCCACACGTGGGGGGAGCAAATACTGGAAAAACACCTCCAGCGGCCGCCCTGCGAGGGAGTATGTCGATGGGA